CCTCCCCGCTTCCCCAGCCAGCCCTGCTGCGGGGACTGCAGCCAGCCCTGCCACCTGCTTGTCCCCGTCCTGATTTTTTGGGGATCTGAGGGACCTGATCCCCTTTTTTGGGGGGATCCAGAGGACCTGACCGCGGGGGCTGGGGAGCCTGGCTGCAGCCTGCAGCAAGGAGAGGCGCGGGGGGAGCGCTCCTGCCACCGGTAATTACCGGAGAGGCTGCTGCCACATGATTAGGGGACGTCAGCAGAGTGTGTCACTGCTGATGCCACGCTGCATGTGCAGGGGCTGGAGAGGGTGCCAGGGCGAGAGGTTGGAGCACGGGGGCTCGGCGCTGAGCCAGCCCACATGCCCACCCTTCAGCGAGTCACCCGAGCCTCAGTTTCCCCACAGAAGCTCGCTGCGCCCCCCCCCCACCCTCCCCGAGGAGAGCTGCACGCTCCTGGCTTTTTTGGGGGGATGTTCTAGGGGAAGCCAGGACAAGGTGTCAGTTACTCACGGCGATGACAGCGCCGATGACAAGTCCCCAGCCTCCAGGAGCACGTGCTGTGCCCATGCTCCTCGCGTGGGGCTGCCTTCCCCGTGCCAAGAGGCCCAGTGAGTAACGGGGTGGGCGGCAGCGCTGGGGTGCTGAGTGGGAGCAGGAGCTTCTGCACAGCGAAAGCTGGAAAAAAATTGCCCCATCTGGGGGCAAACCCTGACCCGTGGGCTGGGTGGGGGTCTCCTACCCCCCCAGGCTGCCTCTGCTCCAGCCCAAGGTCCTGTGGAGCTGAGCCCGGTGGCTTTGGGTCTCCCCAAAAAGTTGGGGTGCGGCTGCTGAGCCCGTCCCCAGGGTGGGGACACCTCACAGCTGGGGCTGCAGAGAGCTGTGCTTTGGCTGGAGAGGTGCTCGAGGAGATAAGGATGGGGTATGGTGTTCCGGGAGCCAGATCCTTCTCGGAGGTTAATAAGACAAGACAGGCAATTGCTGCTGCTTGATACAGGGAGCGTCGTGTGAGTGAGTCTATTAGTGGGCTGATGAGTAATCAGCTACGTTGGAGACCTGCTAACGGGAGGGAAAAGTTGTTAACGTGACTCAGCTGACCCCTCTCCGCAGAAGTTAGCGTGTCTTTTCTGAAATACCGCAGGTGGATTGCTCCACGCCTTGGGCACACAGCCGGGAAGGCATGGCAGGATCTTCCTCCTAGCTTGCCAGCTGGAGTCACGCGCCGGCGATGAGCCACCGGGAGAGGCGAGGGGCCAGCAGCTCTCCAGCCTAACCCCAGCCCCGAGCCCGTCTGCCTGCTCAGCCTCCGGCAGCTCCAGCGAGGAGCTTTTCAGTGTTTCCAGCCCCGCTGCGCTGGCAGCGATGCTTCGGGCTGGCTCAGCACTTCAGCTCCTGTCCTCCCGCGTGCCTGGGGTGGGGATGGGGCAGGCTCCCTCCTCCCGGTCCCCTCCCGGAGCAGGGAGGAGGTGACAGCTGGGCGATGTGGGATGCTGTGAGACACCGAGTCCCACTTTCCAAATGTGGGCCGTTGCCTCCCGAAGTGCAGGAGGCAGCTCTCCCGGGAGATCAGGTGTTGTGAGACTCGTGACTGTACCATGCAAATGCTGGGGGCTGTGAATAAGCACGTACTTGTGCTCCACGGGGGCTGGAGATGCCGTGGTCCAGGAGGCACAGCCCAGGGGCTCAGTGCTCCCCGGCCGGGTCACGGCACGAGGGGCTGGAAGCAGAGCCACAGGCACCGGCACCCCAGGAGATGCTGTTTGCAGGTCAGCCCCTCTCCAAGCAGGCAGGTTAATCAAGATCAGGGCTTACATAAAGCACGCTGGGTCTCCTCCTGCAGTCCATGCCCTCGCCTTACCACAAAGCCTCCCTAGGGTCAGCATTTTTATTATTTTTGCAGCCCCAAATGGAGGGCTGAACCCAAAGCTCGCTGCTCCAAGGGCTGGCCAATGCTGAATTTCTAGCCTCAACCTGCAGCCCGTTCCTGTTTTTCTGGTGGTACCCAGCCCTGTTTCCTCCTCCCTTGATCCCAGGATCCCAGGAGCCAGGTCGCGGGGAGCTGGCAGCAGGACGTGGCCCCAGTGCCCTGCGTGCGATGGGGAGAGGCGCGTCCCCAAAGTCTCTTGGCTCGAGCAGCGCTCTTGTGCTAGCTTGAGGATTCCTTCCTCTTCCAACTGTCAGAGCACTGAAAAAAGAAAGAAAATAAATAAAAAGCAATGACATTTTTATCCCTCTTGTTAGGCAAAGTGGTAAATTTATCGCTGGGCAGTTGTCAAGTGACTCAGCCGTACGCAGCAGGCTCTGCTCTCCGTGGCTGCTCAAGGGGCAGAGGGGAAGGGCTGTCACCGGGTGCTGCCCTATAGTGAGACCTTTTTCCCCTTTTTTGTGGCCTTCTGAGCTGGGGAACAGCAGGGGTCCCCAGCCCAGCGGTGTGAAGGATGGATACCAGCAGAAAGCTGCTCCCAAAGCTGCTCCCCTTGGGAAGAGACACGCTTTGCCTGCGGGGTGGGGAGGTGCTGATCCATGGTGGTGGCACTGCTGTGCCCTGCAGGGACGTGTCCTGGGCATAGAGGTGTGTGTATGGCCAGGCTGGGTCTGACCCCGGGCACAGGTGGGCTGGCAGCTCCCTTGGGGCCGGGGGTCCGGGCACTTCTTGCCTTGCCTGCTGCCTTCACCCGCACCCGGCTCCGGCACAGCCGAGCGGTGGGAAAGTACACGGAGTGCCCTGCTCATGTAAATAAACCCGGCTATAAATAGAGAGGGAGAGAAGTGTGAAAACAGTGGGGAAGGGATTTTATAAAACTAGCAAATTAGTCTGGAAAAACAAGGGTGTGAACCGGCAGCCGCGCTCCAACCCGAGCCCATATTTCCAGTTCCTTGATGGATGATGGGGCCGCGGTTGGGCGCGCAGCTTGGGGAGGTGCGGGGCTGGGTCACCCCCATCCATCACAGGCAAACACCTCTCCTGGTGCTTCCCACCTCAGAATCTATTGGCGTGTGTAATCAATGCCCTCGGTGCTTATTTTGTTCTTTTTTTCAAATTATGGAGAAGCCCAACTAAAGCCATAAAATCTGGTGACGCTGACCAGAGCGTGGTGCCCTTGCAGATGGGCTGGGCTTTCGCTCCTGAGCGCGCAGCACCAGCTCTCCCGTGCAGATTTGCAAGCTTTCACTTCAGACCTGAGGGCTTGGAGCTGAGTCAGGCTCTTCGGAGGTCAGGGGTTTTGCTGGGGAAGCAAACTGCCGGGAAGTCTGCACGAGCTGGGGCAGTGGTGCCACCCCCACGGTGCTCACCAGTGTCACCGTGACCAGGTCATGGGATGCTCCCCACTCTCCTCGGACCCTGTGTCCCCTCGTTTTCCTCCTCGCTAGGGCACGCATGGGAAGAAGAAGGGGGAGAGCAGCAGCTGCTCAAAGCTCTTTCCAGATCCTCTCCCGATGGCGTGAGCATCAGGACCTGGTGAGTGCTGGGGACAAGACCGTGCCAGGCTGTCCCCTCCCAGGCTGCCTGCCACCCCAGGGAGGTTCAGTGTCCCATTTCTGTCACTGTCACGCTCCTGTTCACCCAGGTCTCATCGCCAGAGGTTTGCCAAGAGGAGAGGGATCCCACGGACCCGTTCCTGCCATTTTTTGCGCTCTTCCAAAGGTGACACGGGCAGTGCAGGTGGCGGTGACCGAGCTACAGCGGGCAGGTGGCACAGCTGTTGCCAGGGGTGGCGTTGGCACCGAGCTGTGGTGCCAATGGTGACGGTTCTGGGGTGAGGGGTGCACGTCATGCCAAGCTGGGGCTGGGGCACAGGTGACAGCAAGATGGCACGGCAGAGTGGTGACACTGAACCAGCACAGTGACGTGGGGACACACACAGCTGGTGGCAGGGATATGGGCCCGTGTGGGGTGGCAGAGCCAGGTGGCAGGGCTGGTGGCTGGCAGGGTGGCATAGGGGGACAGGGAGGCGGCGCTGCTTGGGGCGAGGTGGCACATCTGGAGATGGGGGAGACACCACGAGGGGACAGGTGGCATGTTAGGGACAAGGGGGTGGCAGGGGACATATTTGGGACCAGGAGAGGACACGTTTGGGGATGGAGGGGACACATCTGGGGATAGAGGGGGACACATTTGGGGGTGGGGGGACGGGAGGGGATGTATGTGGGGATGGAGGGGACACGTTTAGGGATGGGGGAGGACAGAAGGGCACACATTTGGGGGACAGGAGGGGACATATCTGGGGATAGAGGGGACACGTTTAGGGGACAGAAGGGGACATGTGGGGATAGAGGGGATATATTTGGGGATGGAGGGGACATATTTGGGGACGGAGGGTGCAGAAAGGGACAGATTTGGGGACAGCAGGGGACCCATTTGGCGATGGAGGGCACATCTGGGGACAGAGGGGACACGTTTGGGGGCCAGGAGGGGACACGTGGAGATGGAGGGGACATATCTGGGGAGGGAGGGGACAGGAAGGGACAGATTGGGGACAAGAGGGGACACATCTGGAGCCAGGAGGGGACACATTTGGGGACTGGGGGGGGACAGTAGGGGACACATTTGGCGATGGAGGACACATCTGGGCACATAGGGGACACATCTGGGGACGGAGAGGACACCTTTGGGGCCAGGAGGGGACACACCCGGGTACAGAGGGGACAAATTTGGACCGGGGGGGGGGGCAGCAGGGGACACATTCGGGCACGGAGGGGACGCAGGGGACACAGCGGGCGGCAGCAGCCCGGTCCCCGCAGCGCACCGCCCGGGCACTGCGCACCAGACTGCGGCGCACGGAGAAGGAGGGGGGGGGGGGGACCCGCGGGGCGCGCGCGCGCGCGCACCAGCCAACCCACCTTGAACCGGGGGGGCCCCCCCGGATTTTTTTGGCCGACCAATCGCCTCCCACTCCGCCGGGGGGCCGGGCCAATGGCGGGCCGGCGGGGGCGGCACCGAGCGGCTAAAGGGGCCGGGGTTAGGCTGCGCCCCCCGCGCCGGGCGGCGGAGGCAGGTGCGGCACCGGCACCGGCACCGGCGGGATGGGAGCAGCGGCGGCGGCCGGTGGCCGGCCCTGAGCCGCCCCCTCCGGCCCCACCGGCCCCGGGGAGCCCTGTCCCGGCCCGGCCAAGCCCGCCCCGCCCCGGCCGGGCCGCCCGGCGGGCGGAAGATGCGGCGCACCGGGGGCCGGTAGTACTATGATTTGGTATGTGGCCGCTTTGGTTGCAAGTGTGCTCGGCGCCCGCGGGGTGCCCGTGCAAGGTGAGTGTGCGGGGGGGGACCCGGAGGGGTGGCGGGCGGGGTCCTTGGCATGCACCGGTTGGGAGCGGGGAGATTGCGCCCAGATTGCGCCCGGGGGTTGCGCACGGATTGCGCCGGGGTTTTGCGCCCCGGTTGCGCCCGGAGCTCGCACCGTGCTCCGCAGCTTGCGGCGGGGTTTTGCGGCCGGGGGGGGCTTGCGGCTGGTTGCGGCTCGGGATGGGGCCGGTTTTCCTCGCTGCTGGTGCATGGCGAGCGCTGGGCGCGGTGCGGGTCTCGGTGCTTTTTATTTCCCCCCTCCTTTAGGAAAAAAGATAAATGAAGGGGTTGTGTGCTGCCAGGGCTTTGCGCCGGGCGCATCTCCTGAAGGCGCTGCTCATTTTTGCTGTGACCTCCCAGAGGGCAGCGGCTGCGAGTCGGGAAGTTTAGGAGACATCAGCCTGCAACAGCGCCGAGCTGCGCTGGTGTCGGGCTCCGGGCGCTGGGATGCTGCAAATGCTGCGTGTGTGTGTCTGCGTCTGCTCCCCGGGCTCGGAAATTTGCTTTGGAAGAAGTTAATCGGGGCGAGTCCTCGCTGGGGACACGGCTGGCTGGGTGCAGGGACAGGCAGGGTGTCCCCAGGGGGTGCGTGGCCCCCGGGGGTCTCTTGCTCCCCGTTTTTTCCTTCCAGCCTCCTTGGGGAGCAGGACGGAGCTCGCCCTTCTCTGCAGGGCTGTGCAAGGGGAGGCTGGGAGAGCGAGGAGAAATGCAGAGGGGATTCAGTGCCTGCCCTCTCTGCTTCCCCTGCAGTACCCTGGCGAGGTCAGCGCTTCCTTCTGCAGCCTTTGGGGGTGATTTTTGTCCCCCCCCACGTCCCTGCCATCCTTCCTCCTCCCCTCCCAGGGTGGCTGCAGCACCAAGCAGGGGAAAGCGAGGCACAGGGTTGTCCAAGGTCAGGAAGGAGACAGCAGCAGGGGATCACCCTGCTTTTCCTGCTCTGCCTTCCCTCCCGTCAGCCGCCAGCCCCCAGCCATCCCTGCAGGTAGCAGGTGAGCTGCGAGCTGCCTCCTCTCTCCTGCTGCTGCTGCAGCACCGGCTCCCAGCCCTGCCGGCCTCCCCAAACCCCTGGGCGCACCGCAGCCCACCCGTGGGGCTCCCCAACCGCGGGTTTATGCGGGATGGGGGTCGGGATGGGGCTGCCCTAATGGGGTTGGGGGCTCCCCCGGCAGGGTGGGCTGCAGGGGCGCGCGTACGGCGAGGCGTGTACGTGATGAATGAGTGTGCCGTGAGTAATGCGTGGGTGGGCGCAGCGGGAGAGGGGGCGCTGCGGGCCAGCGCGTCCCCCGCGGGGACACGGCGCGGAGACATCACCCCCAAGCAGGGGCTGGAGCAGGAGAGCAGGGGTTTTATGGTGGGGGTGCCCCCCCCCCAGTTCTTCCTAAGCACCCTGGTGGGGGTGTAGGGTGCTGGGGAGCCGTGTGTGAGGGTGGGAAGCAGGGACACACGTGGGTGGCTGTCACCCCGCATCGCTCAGCAGCGGCTGGGGATGATGTTTGCAGGGGATGTGGCTGCGGGGAGGGAGCCTGCAGCGTGTGCCGAGCTGCCTGGCTGGTGGCAGTGCCCCGTGGGTCTGCTGGTGTCCTGGTGGCTGTGGGTGTCCCCTGGGCATGCTGCGTGGCTCTGCCCTGTGCCGGGCTCTGCTGCGGTGCTGTCCCCGTGGTGTGTCCGTCCTGAGTCACTGCGCCCTGGGCATGTGGGCAGAGCGAGCCAGAGCTGCGGTGTGCTGTCCTGCCAGGCTGGTGATGCTCTCAGGCTGAGATCTCCCTCTGCACACTGAACACGGTGCTGTTTTTGACACCCCCAGGCTCTGTTTCAGCCCTCCCTGCCTTGCTGGGAGAGGTGCCCTTCCTCCCTCTGCCTCCTCCTCCTCGCAGAGCTGGGCAGAAGCACGGTGCCTTGCAGCCCTGCTGTCCCCGGGCAGTCCCCTGGCTTGGCGAGGCTCTCCGAGGGCTTTCCAGGCGTTAATCCGCTCAGAGAGCGCACGTTATCCCCTCTTACAGCTTGGGGGAGGAGAGCGGGGACGTGCCCGTGCCAGGGCGCGTCGGGAGTGGGTGTCAGGGGGAGGTTTAGAGGGGGCCCGTCCTCCTGGCGTTCCCGTGGCGCTGTGACACCGGGGCTTTCCTCCCTCTCCCGCCAGTGCGACATGGCAGAGATGCTCATGGGCACGGCGTGCTGAAGGGTGGCTTGGTTTTGGGCAAGGCTGCCATCGAGGGGACCACCCGGCCCGTGGCAGTGACCTTGGCTCGGGGAGATACTTGCTTACCCGTGGCGGTGCCGCATCCAGCGGGCTGCCGCTGCTCTCCCCGTGCCTCCCTGGCAAGGGGATGGCTTGGCACTGGCGCTGGCCAGTGGGGGCTTGGCCCGGCTCCCTTTTTTTTTTTTTTTTTTTTTTTAATAATTTCCTGGAGGATTTTTTGCTCCTCTTGACCTGTTGGATGGAAGGGCAGGGAGGGGCGCGTGCGCCGTGGTGCTCGGCGGCGGATTCTTGCGGTGATGCTTTTCTGGCTTGGTTGCCTTTCGGCATGGACGATGCGGCTTCCCCCGTGCTGGGAGGACTCTGCAAGCCTGCGTTCCCCTCCGGAGCTGCTGCAGGACAGGTCAGAGCATTCACCTCCCTGCTGGAGGGTGGCAGTGAGGCCCTGGAGCTGGGCGAGCAGCCGGCACGGTCCCTTCCCGCATGGATGGAGGAGCCTCTCCCCCTTCCCTTCCCTGTCGCAGGCATCTCCCGAGCCCTAGGCCCTCGGTGACCAGCTGGCCTCAGAAAAACAACTCCGTTTCTCCTGCTTCCTGCTGGAGAGGCTGGCATTGGTGGGAGGATTGCCTGAGCCAGGAACAGCGTGATTCAGGAGCTGCTGGCGGGCGGCTCGGCTGTCAGCACGCCGAGTGCTCGCACCAGAGTTAGGAGCCGGAGGATGGTGACAGTGGCGGGGCGGTGGCACCGGGGCGCGGGGCTGCCGTGGGTGTGCGGGCAGCAGATGCAGCAGCAGGTCTCCCCCGGGGCCGTTCTGCTGCAGCAGCTGCTCGGGGAGCTGCTGGTTGTTGCTGGGAGATGGCTCCCGGGAGGTGCCCAGATGCTGGTGTTGAGCACGGGGACACCTCGGCCCTGATTCCTCCTGGTGGGATGGTGCTGGGGCGATGGGGATGGCAATGGGGTGATGGGGATGGTGCTGTCACCACCAGCAGGTCACCTTGTATGCTTCATCCCTGCACCCCAATGGGTGGCACAGCGTTGGGTGCGCACCCATGGGTGCTGATGGGCATCATCCCACTGGTGTCATCGCCGTGGGGCAGCACCCAGGTTCGGGATGGCACCGGCTGCTGCACGGGCTGTCCCTTGTCCCCAGGACGGGGTTCAAGCTCGCCGCCAAGCTGCTGATCCCGCGCCGCCGCCACCTCTCCCTGCGTGACCTTGAGGCGAGTCGCTTGACCTCCGTGCGGCACAGTCCGTCCATCTGGAAAATCGGGTTTAAAAAGCAGGAATCTGGCTGAAAAAAAAGCAGATGCTGCTTTGAAGCTGGGGGAAGGGGAGCGGGCTGCGTGGTGGCTGCCCAGGGATGGGGACAGGCAGATGCTCTTGGGGGGCTGCGAGCACCCCTGGGTGCACGGGGGGTGCTGTGCTTGTGGCTTGCAGGGTTGGGCTGCTTCTCGGGGTGGTTTCCAGAGCAGCTCCTCACAACTTTCTGCCTTCTGTGTGCATCCCGTGCCCTGCAGAGCTGCATCCCCAGCTGGTGTCCCGGTGCCAGCCCCTCCTGGCCCAGCATCGCTGGCTGCTTCAGGGCTCCTCAGCCTCTGCTTGTCCTTGGGGCGACCCTGCTCTTCCCTGGGATGCTTTCTGCTGGCCCCATCCTCCATGGGATGGGTCCTGCAAGCGCATCCGAAGGGATATCCCCCAATTTTACAGCCAAGCCTCGTGCCTTGTGGGACAGGAGGGACTGAAAGCCCAGATCTGGGTGGCCCCAGCCTCGTTGGGAGCCCCGTGATGGCATCGTCTTACGTGATGGCAGCCTTCCCTCTCCCGTTGGGATGTGTTCAACTCCACCTCCACATCTTGTATTCCTGCCTCCTGGCACACTGTGTGCTTTTATTTTTCCTGGATCCGCTCTGATGACGAAGCCTGTTGATTGCTTGTTTTTCTTTACGAAGCACCCCCAGCTCGGTGTGAGCTGCTGCTCTAGGGGGGCACTTGGGGTTTGCATCCCAGCCGTGGCGCTCGCTGCTGATCCCATTTTGAAGCCCCAGGTTAAGTCTCGAACCCCCCTGAACTTGGCTGGGAAAATCAAGCGCGTTTAAAAATACCCTTTCTGTTTGTGCTCTGTTTCTTCTGGCATCTGCGGGTTGTTTTCAAGCATTTCTCCACAAATGTGAGGGTGAGAATCACTTCTTTTAATGGAAAGCTGCAGTCTCCATTATTTATACGCTTCCAGGAGCTGGGGCGGCGAGGGAAGCCTGAATGTGGTGGGGTCGGGAGCAGCACCCGGGCTGGGTTTGTGGGTTGGGAAGGGGCAGAGCCCATGTCCCTGACCCATTGGTGACCCAATGGGGTGCCCCATTGCTTCCTGATGGGCACAGAGCTGGGTGCTGTCCCCATTCCCCTCTGGAAGTGGGGACACAAAGGGGATTCCTGCGTGCCCATCCTTGGCGTTCAGCCCTGGAGTGGGGAACCCATGTCTGGGACCTTCATTTTGGGTGTAAAAGTGCAAATCTGGAGGCAGCAGAGCTGATTTGGGGGATGCTGGGGGCTTGTTTGCTGTGCTGCCCATCGGCCAGCTTTGGCTGTGTGAGGATGAGCGCAGCCACGCGCCGTCACCCGCCGGCCTGTGCAGGGGACACCGGCGCTGCGAGCTGCCAGCACTGACCTATTTTTCCTCCACGCACGTTCTGGCGCTTGCAATCCCGAGGCCATGGGTGTTTGGTGAGCGCTGGGCCTTTGGGTGAGGGGGGAGCTGCTTGGGGTCACCTTTGGGGGACCCAGGAGCGAGCAGCTTCCAAACAGGGGCTCCCCAGGGCCCATCCCCGTGGTGTCTGGGCGTGTGGCAGTGGTTACCCTCACAGGCAGCGTTCTTTGTGTCTCTGCAAGCTCAGCTGTGTGCGCATCGATGCTCTGCTGGGCTTTTAGGAGTTGAAAACTGTCCTGTCCCTCGGGGCTGCTGGGCTTGGGTAGGAGCAGGGCGCCGGGGATGGAGCTGGGGAGCACAGGGGTTCAGGCTGGCTGCCTCAGTGAGTGGTCGGTGGGGAGGTTTTGTCCTCTGTCACCGGTGGAAAGCGGGGACACTGTCCCTTGGAAGGTCGTGGATGGTGCTGCGGCACCCGGCGGGGTGCTGGGGACCCGCTGGGCCGAGACAGCCGCCCGCGCCGGGGAGGCAGGGCGAGCGCTGTCCTTGGATGCTCTTGAGCTGCACGTGACAGCTGCCATCCCCGCTCGGCGCAGGGGGGCTGTGGGCAGCCGGGGGGGGGGAATCCCAGTGCTCCCAGTGCCGTCTCAGCTCCTGCTGGGAGGCTGGCTGCATCCCAAGGCTGCGCTGGTACCCGTCCCCTCCTGCTGCCGCAGCCTGGGCACGTGCGGGTGGGAGCAAGGGCAGGGGAGCTGGGGGTGCTGGCGAGGTCCTGGGGGTGCTGACGAGGTCCCTGTGGTGCTGTTGGTGCTGGGCTGGATCCTTGCAGCTCTTCACCATCCGGGCAGAGCCGATGCTGTCTCTGCTGACAGGGTGCGAACGCCTGAGCTCATCGGCGATGCAGCGATAACGAGGCCCTGGAGGTGCGAGCGTGCCACCGGGGCGGTGCGAAGGGGGCCACGGTGGCCCCATCCCCACCACCACCCCCTGCCTGCTCGGGCAGGACCCCGGCGGCAGGGATGAGCTCCAGCAAGGGCTGAGCGCTAGCAGAGGGCGTGCAATGCAGCAAAGGCTCCTGGCGAGCAGCTTGCGGCGCGATGCCTTCGCCCTCCCCTCCGCCTGCGAGCGGCCCTCCCCGCATCACCCGGTGCTGCAGGGAGCGGGGATGCCTGGCCTGATGCAGGGCCGAGGGCTGCCGTCCTCCACGGGCACCCACTTTACGGTGCACGGAGGGCTCTGGGTGCAGCCGGCGGAGCTCTCCATCCCGTGGGACACCGGGAGGGATGGCGGCACGGCACAGCATGGCGCGGCCGGTGGTGCGCGCTTGTGCCGGAGCCAAAAATAGCCGGTGATGCTCGGCTCCCGCGGCGGGGAAGCGGTGATGTCACTCACCGCCAATCACCGGCGGCCCCGAAGAGCAGCACGGAGGAGTGGGAACGTGCTTCCCCGAGCATCCCTCCCCGAGCAGAGCATCCCTCCCCGAGCATCCCCCTGGGAGCGGGCAGTGGCCGGGTGTTGGCGGATGTTTGGGGGAAAAAGGGGGTCCCCCCCCATCTGTGATGCGCCGGAGGAGAGGTGCTTGGCCAGCCCAAACCCCACATCTGCAGTTTCGGGAATCCCCAGCCTGCAGTGCTGCAGGAAGGGAAGGGGCGTGAGGTGGTGCGTGGAGCTGCTGCGGAGCCCCGTGCCGCATCGGGCTCCCCCCCCCCAGCTCCATCATATTGATGTTTTGGGGTTGCAGGGAGCTCTGAAAGCCCAGCCTGTTTTTTTTTTTTTTTTTCCTCCTTGTGCTGGCTGTGCCGGTGCTTTCTCACTGCTGCTGCTCCCCTCTCAAAGGCGTGAGCTCCCTTTCTGCAGGGGGTGAAGCCGTGGGAAAGAGGCGAGCGGCGATTTGGGGCCGGGCACCTCCCTGCCCTGGTTCCCCGTCTCCCTTTTTGAAAGCTGTGCTGAGGATGGTGCCGAGCTTTGCTGCTGATGAAAAGAGCAGGATGATAACAGGCTGCAGCCGAGCTGGGAGATGCAGCCAGGGTGGAGCAGAGCCTTGGCTGAAGGCTGAGAGCAGCGAGTTTAATTGCTCCAGCCGGGGGGGGGGGGAAGTGGGGTGCCAGAATCACAAGTCACAGATGAGTTTCGAGCCTGGGGCTCTCGGTGACACCCAAGGACAGAGACTGGGCCACCTGGAATGGCTCCTGCGGGACGGCCACGTCCCAGGGCATGCCACAGCTGTGGGTGCTTGGCCCTGCTCACCGAGCTCCTGTGGCTTTTGGGGAGGATGGGGGCGTGCAAGTGGCTGCGCTTCTGGTTTTTGGGGTTGGGGAGCCCTTGGGGTTGGAGCTTGGGTTTTCCCAAGGGGTTCCAGTGGTGGGCAGCAGGCTCAGCCCCTACAACAGCCGCATTTTCTGCCTTCCTCCCCTTGCAGGTGCCCTCGGCTCGAGGGAGGAGCCCGAGTTTGTGACCGCTCGCGCTGGCGAGAGCGTGATCCTGGGATGCGACGTTATCCACCCGCTCACGGGGCAGCCGCCTCCCTATGTGGTGGAGTGGTTCAAGTTCGGCGTCCCCATCCCCATCTTCATCAAGTTCGGGTTCTACCCTCCCCATGTCGACCCGGGGTATGCAGGTGAGGCTGGGGGATGCGGGGCTGGGGGCCGGGGGGCCGCGAGGCGAGCGGTGCCGTGCCGCCGAGCGTGCGGCTCTGCTCAATCTGCTCCTCCATAGGAAACCGCGCGCGCGCTCTGCCTCTCATTGCTTTCTTTCCACCCAGTTGGTTTTAATTAAGCAGCAGCACTAGGAAGCCAGCTGGGCTGCGTGGGACGGGAGCAACCGAGGCAGAGAAACCCAGGGTGACGCGTGGTGGCGGCGGCGGCTGCTGCCGCTGTGCCCCGGAGCAGCTGCGAGTCTGGGGGATGCTCAGGGGAGCGGGGCACGGGATCGGACCCCTCTGGGGACATCTCCTCGTGGAGGTGGCCAGGAGGAGGTGGCAGGGCTCTGCTGGAGGTGCAGAGCCCACGTGGCTGCGCACCAACACGTGTCACCCTCCCCGTGTGGCTGGTGGCACCTCTGGGGGCTGGGGATGGCACGCTGGGGTAGAGCCATCGCAATGTGCTGCTGCCTTGGGGAGCTCGATTTTGGTGTTTGCAGCGGGTTGAGATATCCCCTGCAAGGATGTGTTTGTGGGGTTAGGGCAGCCGGTGTGGGACGTGGGGTTTTGGGGTTGATGGGTTTTGCTCTCTGCCCCCACAGGCAGGGCCAGCCTGCACGACAAGGCATCCCTGCGCATTGAGCAGGTGCGCTCCGAGGACCAGGGCTGGTACGAGTGCAAGGTGCTGATGCTGGACCAGCAGTACGACACCTTCCACAACGGCAGCTGGGTGCACCTCACGGTCAACGGTGAGTCCTGGCTGGAGGCACAGGGTGGGCTCGGGGTTCGTGGGCAGCTCTGTATCCAGCCCCTTTTGGCGCTGGTGTCGCTGCTCCGTCCCGGGGATGCCCCTGGGATAAGATGCTCTGGGATGTTGCATCCTTGGAGAGCACAATTGTGCTGGGAGCGGGCTGGGGATGAGCTGAGTGAGCAGGGATGGTGATGGATAAGGGATGAGTGTGTTGTGGGGGCCAGGAGGAGGGCAGGAATGCTCTTATATTGGGACTTGGGGGGCAAAATCAGCATCCATCCCTTGCTGACCCCATTCACATGCCCACGGTGAGGGGCCTTGTGTTCTCGCAGTGCTGTGGCCTGTGTTTCACAGTGGTGTGTGAGGATGGTGCAGCTCATTAAGCCGGGCTGCAGGGTGTGATTTCATGTGTGGCTTTCTAGTCCTGATAGGTAACGAGGATGGTAATGAGCCCTCCAGGTTTGGCAAGCCCGACCGCACAGGCTGCCGGGGCCGGGACTTGGCAGAGGGCGATGCGGGAGGGCACCCAGCACCCGCAGAGCCACAGATGGTGCAGGGCAGCACTGCCAGGGCACGTGTGGAGCAAAGGCCAGGTCCCTGTCACCGTCACTGCCATGGTTTGGGGCCGTTCCCTAGGATGATGCCTTGTTCAGGGAGGACAGAGGGCTCCGGCGCAGCCGTGCCGGGTGTAGGATCGCTGCAGGGCTGCATGGGGCTGGGGCGGTTTTCCCTTTGATTTCTGACTCACGCTGCACCTAGATAGCATCTGCACCTCCTAAACAAATGAGAAGCCGTCCAGGCCAGCTCCAAGCAGGAACTCCGCTTACAGAAGGGACAAACTTTTATTAGCAATCACGCAGTTTAATTACGCCAAGCTTGTTTAAAGGAAAGACATCAAGAAGCAGGGCTGGGGCTGCATCTCCTCGTAACGAAGAGATCAGAAAATCAAATCTTTGTTTTCTCCGAATCCAGATTTACTCCAATTACTTTTTCATTTTATTAGCGCCGCGCATTAAGCTAATTAGCAATTTGTCGTCTTCCACGTCGGGAGACGTCTTTATTTTTAGCGGCAGCCACGCTTGGAGGCAGGACGCGGCCGTGGGGCGCTGCCGGCTCCTCGCCGCCGCCGTGCCCGACCTTGAGCGATTTATTTAACCTTTGGGGGGGACGCCGGGGCTGCGGCACGGTGCAGAGCTGCCTAATTGAGCCCAATTAGCGGGCAGGAGCTGCGCAAGCAGGGCTCGTGGTGGCGGGGAGCGAGGCAGCTCCGTCCTTGTGCGCTCCCCTGCCATGCGGGGCCGAGCTGCTGGTGAGCTCGGAGAGCCTGGGAAGGGAGGAAGGAGGAGGAGGAGAAAGGGAGAAAAAGGAAAGGAAGGCAGCTGTGATGGCTGGTGGTGATGGCCTCGATGAAAATCCTACAGAGCTGCTGGCTGGGTTTATATCCTCCTCCCTGCCCAGCCCCAAAGGGCTCCAGGGTGCCTGGGAGCTGCTGGGTGTTGCCTCCAGTGTCCCAGGCTGCTCCAAGCATCCTGGCCCTGCACAGAGGGGTCTCAAAATGGGCTTTATTGGGCACCCAGGGGTTTAATAACGAAACAATAACCGTAATCCTCCAGCCACAGGAAACAGCTTTCAGGGGGAGGGCTGTGGCTTTCCCCCTGGCACAATAGGATGCTTAATTTTCTTAGGGGGAAAATAAAAAAAAATCATTTTGGGAGGCACAAAATATCATTCTTTTTTTTTTTTTTTTCCGAGCAGATTAAATTGCCAACCTGTCTTCCTCGAAAGTGGGCTTTAACAACTGCTGGTAATTAGGGGCGGGCTGTAATCCTGCCAGCCTCTTTAATCAGAAAGGAGCCTTTCGATCTGCACTGCGGTGTTTTCTTGTGTTTTGACAATAGCAAGTTAATGTGTGATGGGAAGCGGGGGGGAAAGCCACACAGGGAGCCACTGGGGAGGAGGGTGCAGAAGGGGCTGGCACCCCGGGGTGCCCTCCAAGGGTTTTTGGCTCTGCCTCTTACCTCTGGGCTGTAGGGCACGGTGGGGACAGCCCCTGTGATGCTGCTGTCCCCGCAGCCTGAGCCCCGTTTGCATTTCAGAGCCCCTTTTTTTGGGAGGTGGGGACTCAGGGGGTGTCCCCACTTTGTGTGTGGCCACCTCAACTCTGTCACCGTGCCACTGCGAGGGTGACAGCGTGTGGGACCAGGAGGGTGTGACGGGGTCTCCCTCTGCCCCCCAGCTCCCCCCACCTTCACGGAGACGCCGCCGCAGTACGTGGAGGCGAAGGAAGGCAGCAGCGTCACCCTGACCTGCATGGCATTCGGGAACCCCAAGCCCATCGTCACCTGGCTGAGGGAGGGAGAGCTGCTGGCCGCCAGCAGCAAGTACCAGGTAGGTGCATGAGGGGGGGTGGCACCCCATGGACCCCCCCACGTGTCCCTTAAATCAGGGATGGGGTGGGTGACAAGGTGGTGGTGGCAGCTGTGGTGTGTCTGCAGCCAGTGTTGCTTTCTCAGCACTTCTCCCTGCTTCTTGGCCATAGGAGGAGGGGTTTCTGGTGGTGGGGCTGCTGGGGGCTCTGCTGGACCCCCCCTGGGTTTTGGGTGGGGGCTGCGCCTTGGGAACGAGGGGGAGAAGGGGGACGGTTTGGGCAGGGGGGGCTCTCCCCGCCCCAGGACCCGTTTCCCATCCCAGAGGCTCCCACTCCTCTCCCAGGCAGCGATTCCACCCGAGCCGTAATTGGTAAATCAGGCATTGGAATCAGCGCAGGCACTAATGAGAGTAATTAGGAATCATTTGTTACTAATTGAAATAGAAGGATGAGGCAGAGTGAGCGGCGGGGAGGGAGCCTGCCTGGGAGCGCGGCTCTCGCTTGCTGGGGGGGGGATGCTGCAGCCTCTGGGGGTGACGCTCCCCAGCCTGTTTTTGCCACGTCTCTGGGGTCCCGATGGGGATTTGGCCACTTGTGGGGCAGCGTTGTGGGGCCAGGCTGGGGCTGGTGGCTTGTGTGGGGCCGTGGGTCTCTCCGTGCCCATGGGATGTGGGTGCTGTTGTCCATGGGGAGCTGCTTGGCTTCTGTGCCCCCTGCACGTCCCCAGACCCTGATAGCAACAGGGCTCAGCTTCTCCCTGGGGACACAGAGCAGGTCCTGTGGGATCGGGGCGGGCAGGGATCCTCCCGTGGGGCTCCCCGCTCCTTGCAGAGCAGAGCACGGCTTGCTGTGACGCATTTGGCAGGAGCGGAGCAGTTTGGAGTCTGCTGCGCGTCAGTCACTCCTGCAGGAGACGAATACGTTGCGAGTTTTTTTTTTTTTATTATTTTTTTTCCCCCCTTGGCGTCGAGCAGCAGTGCGTGTGTTGGTTTATTAATATCGAAGTCTTGCAGAGTTGGGGAAGCCCATTTCTCAGCCGGCTCGAGCAGCAGCAGCAGCTCCTCTCCATCTCCACCCTCCCTGCCCTTGAGGAAGCAGGGAGGGAGAGAGCATCCCCATGCGGGGGGGGGTCTCATGGGGTCCCCACGTGCTCCAAAGTCCCCTCCTGTCCCCCAGGTGAGCGACGGCAGCCTGACGGTGCTCTCGGTCAGTCGGGAGGACAGGGGTGCCTACACCTGCCGAGCCTACAGCATCCAGGGGGAGGCCGTGCACACCACGCGCCTGCTCGTCCAAGGTAGGATCCCTGCGCGGTGCCTGCGGGGTCATCCTCGGTGTCCCCAGGGGCTGGAGGGGGAATCACTGAATGTGCTGCCTCTCTGAGGTTCTGGGAACTGGGAGAGGGCGGATTGCCCTGGTGCATCCTGCTTTGTTGATGGGGAAGGGGCTTGCCTGCATCCAGCTGATCCAAAGACCCCTTCTGGTGCTGGTCCTGGGCTGGCGATAAATCAAAGAATGGACATGAGGGTTTGGGAGGAGGCAAGGAGGGCTGTGACAGTGCCCTGATGTGCTTGGGGCCGTGTGGGTGCGTTAGGGATGATGTTAGGGCTGTGCCACTGCAGAATTATCCCTGGGAGCACCCCAGCCACCTCCCCGTGGCACAGTGGGCACCCCAAGCAGGGGGTGGCACAGCCCTGGGTTGGTCCCCGGCACGGCTTGGCTGCATCAGGCTGCCACCCCTGCTGCCCGCAGCCTTCCATTAAAAACGCCATCAATAAATAAACAAGGAAATGAAGCCCAAACCCCAGACGTTTAAATAACATCAGAGCCTGCCAGCTCATCTGATGGCACGGGGAGCAGGATTACGGCCGGTGCCTTCCTGTGGAAGCGGCTGCGCTGGGCACCCGGCCAGCACGGCACGGCCCCCACGGCGTGTGCCCGCATCCCCTCCATCCCCAGCACGGGTGTGGCAGGAGATTTTGGGGGGGACTGGGATGGAGCTGCTAAAGCCAGGGCCAAAATGACTCGCCGGCACCGTGCCCGGTGCCCAGTGCTCTGTGTCCTGTTTGTAGGGCAGAGAAAGCCACGTAATTGGGGCACCCCGGTGGCCGGGCTGTCAGCTTGCTGGAGCAGCTGTGCCGATTAGCAGCCGGGCCCTGATTGCAGCTCGGTTTTGTTTGGAAAGCGGGGAAAGATTGAGCACGTCACAAAGCGCCTCGTCAGATAGCGGTGATACATGGCCGGCCTCCCGCTCCTCGGCGCTCGGCTCCCTCTTTTATTAAATCAACCTTTAATTAGGTCAACAGCTACCGGCAGAGAGAGGAGCTGGAGGTGTCCTGCGCTCTGCTGTGCACCCAGGCAGCGAGCTGTGCCCCTCACCGCTCGTCTGGGCAGCTTGCTCTTTTTTCCTGGGCTCCTGCGGGTGGTGAGATCAAGGAAATGTGCTTGGGATTGAGCGAGGTGGGAGCTTGTGTGCCAAGGGAGAGGCAGCGGAGCTCTGAGGGTGTAGGGATGGACCCCAGGAGCACCGTGCCCCTTGGGACACCCCCATTGTCCCATGGGATGGGGTTCCTCATGGCTCATTTGGCACACACAGGAGGATGTATTTTCGGGGCTGCTGGCTCCAGCCCGTGTCCCCATAGGGGTGGTGCTTGCTCGTAACCTTCCCATAACCTTGCTCTCCATCCCCAGGCCCACCCTTCATCGTTTCCCCTCCGGAGAACATCACGGTCAACATCTCCCAGGATGCGCTGTTCACCTGCCAGGCCGAGGCGTACCCAGGGAACCTCACCTACCTGTGGTACTGGGAGGAGGAGAACGTCTACTTCAAGAAGTGAGTTTGGGACGGCGCCTTCCCCTCATCCCGTGCCGGGGCTGCCCTCGCTCCCTGCTGCTCCTCCTCCGGCGTTCTCCCCCCCCTCACCTCTCCTCCCCTGGTCTCTCGCAGCGACCTGAAGCTGCGGGTGCGGATCCTGATCGACGGGACGCTGATCATTTTCCGGGTGAAGCCAGAGGATGCTGGAAAATACACCTGCATCCCGAGCAACAGCCTGGGCCGCTCGCCATCCGCCTCCGCCTACCTGACGGTGCAGTGTGAGTGCGGGCAGCGGGGCCGAATTTTGATGGATGAGCTGCTGGAAGGGGCTGGGGACACCCGGCTCTGAGCCAGCCCGGAGGTGCTGCCATCCCAGTATGACCCACTGGGGAACTGGGAGGCTCGGGCTGAGGTGGCAGCAGCTTTTGGGTGGCTCCGTGCTGGGTGCCACCACCCTGGGCAGAAGGGATTTCTCTCCTTGTAACACGGGTGGGCATCTCGTGGGTGCTCCCAGGGCGCTGTTCCCTTTTCTTGTCCCTGCAAACACCCCATCAGGGCTCTTAATATCAAATCCCCGCTTCGTTTCTCGGTATTTGTCATGGGGGCTCATTGCCGTGACGTGGTTTTCTGCGAATTTGTAGGGCTGTGTGTAATAATTTCAGGCAGTAACTGATCTAAACAAACGGAGGAGAGCGGCGCTGAAAGGAGCGTTTCTTCCCACGCTTGTTCTTTCTGGCTCCCCCTGCTTTAATGGGTAGTGTGCCACCAGCATCCTATGGCATTCGACAGTAATGGTCCAAATTTCTGCCGCCTGCAATTGCAATATTGCTCTGCTGTAAAAGCCCGTAGTGATTTTATTTTATTATGAAGGATAGGCTCGAACAAAGCGGGCTCGGAGCTCGCTTTCTGAAGACCTTTCAGATTGTGACTATAGATCCACTGCTGGGAGCTGCCTGCTAGAGAAAACCCCGATGTCCACAGGGGCTGGGACATCCTGCATGATCCCTTAGGGCACAGGAAAAGGGGCAGGATGCGGCCGGGAGGACGGCAGCAGGGTTCTTGCTGACCTTGCAGAGAGCCTCTCTATCCCATTACCTCCTCCCCACCCCTTGATTGCATTTTCCTAAGCCGGTCCCATGCATGCTGCTCCCTAATCTGGGTTATGGGGTCAATGCTGGGATGCCCTGTGGCAGCAGGAGGCTTTGGGGAGCTGTTGGGGTTGCGTTTCCCAGCCGGTGCGCACAGCTTTGGAAACTTGCATGGCTCCCGAGTTTGGGTGCTTTTACCCCAGAAAAGCACCAATGAGGGGGTCTTAATTCGGGTGTCAGGCTTTAATAACCCTGAACGTTGTCTTTTTTCCCCTAACTTTGGGGCAGGCTTTTAGCAAACTGGAGCCGGAATGGTTCTGAGCCCCCTTTTTGGCTGGAGAAGCCACGAGGAATTTTCTCATTGACTTTTACGCATTCCCATCAGTTGCAGGATGAGATTTCTCTTCCTCTCTGGGTTTTCTCATATGGATACCCTTGCTCTAGCGCAGAGGGGATGGGTCTGCACATCCTGAGCCCTGCACCCTTCTGGCACCCATCCTTTCCATCCCAACCCCATAGTTTTACCCCGAGCTTTGCCCCAGCTTGGGGATGCCGCACCCAAAAAAACAATTTCCTTCCCCAACGCAGCGTAAGCCCCGTTAGGATTTTCCCGTAACCTTGTGCTGCTGGTGTCTAGACGAGATTTGTAGAAATACTCGCTCTCCTTATTAGAAGTAACTTTTTTTTTAAAAAAGCTTCTTATTAAAGAAAGTCTAGGTTCTCTCCAACCCACTCGCATTTAATTAAAAAGCTCTTAGAAGCGCTGTTAATGACACGTTCTAGACTTGAGGATTGCGAGACGTCTTGCTGCGTGGGTGGTGAAACGTGGGGAGGTTAGATACATATTTTAAGCTTTTTTGCATCCTATTTGGAAGGGTGGAGGTGGCTGATTCTTCCACGCAACCCAGCCTCAGTTAGGCATGGGCTGCGAGTACAAACAAATAGGAGGGAAGCGGCTCACGCCGGCCTGACCGCGGGTCCCTTCTCGGCCTCGGCTGCTGCCCCTGGTGTGTTTTAGGGTGCTGGGGTTAAAACAGTTTTTGTTTGCTGGGTTGGAGTTGTTTTCCCTGTACCCAGCAGGAGGAACAGAAGCGTTGTTGTTGCCTTGGGAGGCGCCTCCAGGCTTGCCCACAGCCTTTTTTCCTTCTGGCGAGAGCGCATTGCGGGGCGGTGTCACTCGGGGTGTGGGAACGGGTGTTTGGTGCTGCCTTTTAAATGAAGCTTTTAATGAAGTGCAGCTCTTAATGAGCTCCAGGTGGGAACCCACAGGGTTCAAGTAAAGCCCCCCAGAAGGGCCAGGTGTTGCAGTGGATGCAAGCCTGAAGATATCAGCTGGTGGGAGATCTGGACTCAGATTTGGGGTTTGGACTCTTGTTGCACGAGCAATATTGATCCTATACAGCCAGGTGTTGGGGGAGAGGGGCTTCATCCTGGTCTTAACCTGGTGCTGCTCCCCCAGATCCTGCCCGCGTGGTGAACATGCCCCCCGTCATCTACGTCCCCATCGGGATCCACGGGTACATCCGCTGCCCCGTGGAGGCAGAGCCCCCGGTCACGCTGGTCAAGTGGAACAAGGACGGGCGGCCCCTGCGCATCGAGAAGGTGAGGGAGCAGTGAGGAAGGGGGGATGAGGGGAAGGGGTGTCTGTGCTGTCTCTGCCCGAGGTTTTGAGCCCCAACCTTCATGTCCAGAGAGGAGAAAGCCCCCGGATGGGCTGACACCGTTTTTTTTCCTACCAGAGCAGCCTGAGCTGAGTTAATTTAGGTTCCTTCGGAGAGCCCACGGCGCCTGTCTGAACATCCCCAACCTCTAGAATGACCTCCTGATGGCCCTGTTCTCTTCCAAGGGCACCTAATGGTTAAAAGACCCTTTTAACAAGTCTCTGTCTTCCTATAATCGCGCTTTGATAGTCTCAGCAAGGATATTAGCCATTAAATATTTAAGGAAAACACTCAGTATTTTAATTTTTTTTTGTTTAAATATTAACGATCTGGAGTTTTCAGTCGGTTTAAGCCTGCTGCCCGTGTGGGTTCCTGGTCACTGGTGCCCGCAGCTTCTCATCTGGGGTCATCTTGGTGCCACCAGGCTTGGGGGCCCCCAGTGGGACGAGTTCCCCTTCCGTGGGGTGCAGAAGAGCCCGAGTGGAGGCTCCTGGTCCCCCCCCAGTTTATAAAAGGTGTGAGCTGGGGCTTGGACTTACTCTGGCCGGGGAAAACCTGGCTGTGGCTATGCCTGGGGAGCTGCAGCTCAGGTTTGTTCTCACAAAATGTCCCATCTGCACCAGCGTAATGGCTCCTTTTGTTAATTGGAAGAATGCATTTAAAAAAAATCATTTAAAAAGGAGGGAGTGAAAGAGGAGGGGGATTTTAATGTCTAGTCGAGGCATAGGGAGGTGAGAGCAGGCTGCTGTGCTTGCTGCCATGGCATCCCTCCTGTGAGGTCCTTGCTGCGTGGCTGCTCGTCTTAGGATGTGGGTTTGTTTTTTTTTTAAGAGATGGAAGTCTGTGTCACAGGAGGCTTTTTTAATAAACACCAAACAGGAGAGCTTTCAAAGGAAAAAAATCTTCCGTGCCTTTAGGCATGCGTTTTGCAGTAGAGTAGTTCAGCTGGAAGGGACCTACGAAGATCATTGAATCCATCTGTTTTACCTAAGGTATGATACCGTCATTAAATCTGTTGGGCCCCTTGGAGCCTGGCTGTGTGTAAGGAGGAGAGCATCAGCGAGACAAAGCCCTGCGTCATCGGTGTGTTCGGGGCTGGGAAATCCTTCCTGGGGAGCAGGCACAAGCTGTGCCTTCACCTCCTGCTCACCGCTGCTGACGGGAGCCCGCCGGGTGTTTGGGCTCCGTGGGTGGCATTTGTCTCGCCTGATTTTAGACATCTCCAGAGCTGATGCTGGTGTCGAGGACTAGTCATCCAGGCTGCTTTTGTAGTCCTTGGAGAGAGAGCGGTGCTTCCAGGAAACGGGTCTGTGCTCGAGCTGAGGCATCTACTCCTGGAAGGGATAAATCACGGCGCGGGGTTTGCCGATGTCTCGTGGTTAACTGGCAAAGAGGCTTAGACCCAAGGCTGAGATGGGGATTTCCTTGCTGTCTGCACTCAGACGGGCTGATCTCACCTGCTTTTCCCTGCTCTGTGTTTGAGGAGGTGGCTTGGATGCTGGGAGTGGGACTTAAAAGTGATTTGGGCACCTCCAGGAGATGCTCCAGCCACCCTGGGATTTATTTTTGGGGTTGGCCGAAGGGAAAGTAAGCAGTGGTGTGAGCAGGATGCTGCAGCTGCCTCCTTCTCCCCTCCGCAGTACTCTGGCTGGAACCTGCTGGAAGATGGGTCGATCCGAATCGAGGAGGCAACCGAAGATGCTCTCGGCACTTACACCTGTGTGCCTTATAACGCCCTGGGTACGATGGGCCAGTCTCCCCCTGCCCGACTGGTACTGAAGGTAATGTGCCTGTGCCTGCCGTGCCAGCACGTGCTGGTGTCCCGGGGGGGCTGCTGGGGTGTGCAGGGTGCTGGGACCCCAAACTGGGTGCTGGGACCCCGGACTGGGTGCTGTGGATGTGAGCATTTCACCAAAACGTGCTGCTGTGTGGCTGGGTGAGCCTTCCTGTTCACAGATTATGACTATTTTTAAGATTATTACTATTTTTTTTTTTTTAAGTCTGCCTGCAGTTGTTGCTCATTAATTAGCGTAGGTTAGTGGGGAAGTGCTGGCCCTTGTGTGCCACACCAAAACAAGGTGCTGGTGTGTAGCATCGAGCCTTAGCAGCCCTGCACCAGGACGGTTTGACGAAGCATCGTTCACATCCCCGGGATGGCCTGTTTGCCAACAAAATGTTCAGGCCTGCTGACCCGGGCTTGGATTTGCAGAGGCTTTTAATGAAAAGATGATTTAAGCTGTAGAAAAGCTCCGTGGGCTTTTGCTGCTCTGCTGTAGCCACTGGCGCTGCTGGGGTTAGGAGCTTTGTTCCCTGAACAAAAAGACACATGTGAGGAGTGGTATTGCTGGGATTCACACGGCACAGCTCTGCAAACCTCCTCGTACACACACGCTTCCACCAAGCTGATTAATCAGGCTGATATCTGATGTGGGTGTTGTTTTTTTTCCTGTTTACCTCCTTAAAATTTAAACGAGGTGGCTGGGTGGCTTTCCAGCAAAAACCTCCCTCCATGTGTGCAATTTTGCGTGCCGTAAAGCCTCGTTAGCACCCGCTTTCTGCGCCTCAGCCTTACCCAAACCACTGATTAATTTGTTTTGGGAGGGTTTGGGGGCATGGAGCTGGTGGCACGAGCTGCTGGGTGGGATGTTGGTGGTGTGGGCTCACGCTCCTTGCCTTTTCCTTTTTCCCTTTCCCAGGACCCCCCCTATTTCACGGTGCTACCAGGCTGGGAGTACAGACAGGAGGCAGGGAGGGAGCTGTTGATTCCTTGTGCTGCTGCGGGAGACCCCTTTCCCATCATCGCCTGGAGAAAGGTACCCGGCCTGCCAGACAAATCTGCAGTGCCTTTGGCTTTTGGTGAATATTGCAGACAGAGAAGCCACACTCTGTCCCGGTAAGAACAAACTGCAGGTACAGCTGCTTCGCTTTGGGCTGAGCCACTGCCGTCCTGTCCCGCAGGTGGGTGGGGGAGCCCGGCTTGTGGCCACCGAGTTCTTTCCAAAAAACCTTCACAGCAGCATCTGCAAAGCTGAGCACTGCCCCCGCCCCAGCCCCTTCCTCCTCTTCCTCGCTGGGAAGCCCTCCTCTTCCTCCTCCTCCTCCTCCTCTTGCTGGTGAGGCTGGCACCAGTGATGCTGGTCCCGCAGGAGGGGATGTGCCACCGGGGCCTGTCCGAAGGGCTCTGCCCTGGGGCTTGGCTGAGTTTTTGGGAAGGACCTGGACCTGTCAGTGCCTCCTTTGGTGCCCTGTGACTTGGAAGACCATGGGAAGAAGCTGGTTTAACCGTGCTGGACTGGACGTAGTGATTTGAGGATGTTCCTTTAGAGCAGGGTAGGGTGCGGTGTGGTGTCACCAGGGCTTTCCAGTCCCCTCTTCCCTTTGCTTCCCATCTTTGTGTGCCCGTAGGAGAGCCACGATGCAGGGCACCTCCAGGGCTCTTTGTCCCACTGCCAGGATCTTTTCTCCAAGCCTCCTGTCCCCTTCCAGCCCTCCCAGAAGGGCTCCTCAGCACAGGATCCCTGCATCGCCCTGGGGGCACCGTCCTTGGTCCCTGCAGCGTGAGGTTCTCCATCTATTCACAGTTGTACCAGCACAAGGAGGACCGTAGCTTGAGCAGATCTCAAGCAACCTACCTGGAATTTGTTAGCTCTTTTAGTTTTCTTATCGATCTTATTTTTCCTTCCTTCCCCACCCCCTTCTTATTTAGGTTTCTTTCCAACCCCTTTTGTGCTTTCTGGCCCTCCTCCTCACATCACGGCTTTGGGCTTTTCCTCCCCTGGCTTCAGCCAGGGCTGGTTTGGGCTGAGAGGAGTTTCCCAGGGAAAGAAGAGAGCTCCCTGCCAGCCCCCGAGAGCTGACCTGCCTCCTCCTGAAGGACCCCACAAGACCTGGGCTGGGGACCAGTAACCCCGTGCCCATCCGCTCCCCCTGCACAGGAGCAGGCTGCGTGCAGGTGCTGCAGATCCCCGGAGCCCATCAGTGGGATCCACGCATGAAAAACAGCCGAAGAGGACTGGGAGCGACGTGGGATTTGCACAGCTTCAGATAATGGGCAGGAACACGAGTTGTTACAAGATCCATCCTTTCCGCTCGGCTTGAGAGCTGCCAGGCACCTTCGTGCACGTCAGCTTCCCATGTCCCCGGGGTCCCTCCTGCCGAAACCTCTGCCAGGAGCGGTTCTGCCTCTCCTCTGCTGGCTGGGGGCGAGAAGGGACATTGGGACATCTCCTGGGGGCAGGCACCCACCTTGGAGGGTGTTCTCTGGGGACAGCTGGTGTGCCGTCCCCAAGCAGCGGTGGCAGTTTCAGCTTTGGATGCTGGAGACTTGTTCTTGCGAAGGTCTCGGTGCCCGTCCGGGTGCCGCGGGGTTTTTCCGCTCATGTCCGGGTTGTGATCACCAGCCCCCGTCCGCATGTCTCTTGCGTTGCCGTGCCGGGTCCTCTCCCAAAACTGGGGAGACCTCATGGGGAGCGGGGAGCCGAGAGCAAATAGCTGAGATAACCACGTTGCCTCCTCGCCCTGCTCGGCGTGCTGCTGAGTTGTGTTTTTTTTCTTTTTTTTCTCTTTTTGCCTCGCTCCCCCTGCTCCTTGCCCAAGGTAGGGAAGCCCAGCAGGAGCAAGCACAACACGCTGCCCGGCGGCACCCTGCAGATCCGCTCCCTCGGCAAGGACGACCATGGCGAGTGGGAGTGCGTCGCCACCAACGTCGTCGCAAGCATTACTGCCAGCACTCACCTTACAGTCGTAGGTACGGGCAGGAGGGGGCCACGGGGCCTTGGGGACAGCTGGTGGCAGGCACTGTGTGCTCCTGGGTTGTCACACATGGGGTAGGGATGCTTCCCGTGATGAGCAATGTCTCCCTTGACTATAATTTTCCGGTGGTGCTGCATTCTCTGTTCCTTTATTTTGGCCACCTGCGCGTGTGGATTAGCAGAAATCCTGCATGAAACAAAGGCTTTCCTATTTCGGAGCCCCCCCCTTCATATCCTGGCTGGAAGCAAATCCTTCCCAGGAGCTGTGGGGCTGCATTAATGCCCGCAATCCCTCCCGTGCCCCTGCTCCTGCTGCAACCCGTCTCTCTCCCCGCAGGCACAAGCCCTCATGCCCCCACCAGTGTGCATGTAGTGGTTGCCATGACCTCTGCCAACGTCTCCTGGGAGCCCGGCTACGACGGTGGATACGAGCAGACTTTCTCAGTTTGGTACGGCCCTCTGTGAGTCATCCCCGCATGCTTTGCTCTCTGCTTCTTTTCCTTCCTAGCCGACCCCAGCTTCCAGCAGCGGGGCCGTGCCGCGGCGGGGGGGGGACGGGTGGCGATGGGCGGTGTGCCTGGGTCGTGCCGTGGCGAGGGGTAGAGCCCCCGATGCCCTGGTGCAAGCCCCAGCCCTGAGATGGGAGGGATGGGAGGGTGGAGGTGGTGCAGCTTTTTTCCATTTTTTTTCCATTTTTTCCCCTTTTTTCTGAGTGCAGAGGAGCTGCCGGCACTGCAGTCCCCTCCAGTGCCTCGGGACGGGCAGCAGTAGTGCTGGAGGTCTCCCGTGTTCCCTTTCCCTTTTGTGCTAGCCACTACATCTGTCCGCCCCAGCAAATTCTGTTCTGCTTACAAGGGGAGACGCTTTGCATTCATGTAACTTTGCCTCTGGCGTCTAATTTCAAGATAAACTGTTTATGAAGCTTAGCAGCACGGAGAGGATGGCAAATGCAATCTTTAGAGAGTGCCTCCTGAAGAAATGTGACTAAGCAGAAACGAGCTCTCCCTCCTCTCTGACTCCCCGGGGGCTGCTAAATCCCAGCTGAGCGTGCGAGCAGCCGCTGTTCGGTGCTGGCCAGGAGACCTCGCTCCCTTTAGCTGCTGGTACCCAAAGCAAAGAGGCAAATCCTGCCTTCCCACGGCAGGGAGGGCAAAACGGAGCTGCAGCAAGGTCAGGCTCTTCTCCAGGCTCTGCACTCGTCGTCCTTCTCCTCTGAAGAGCCGTCCTTTGAAATGCGGAGGGGCCGGCGCCTTGCCTTTCACAGGCTGCTGCTGACGTCCTCCTCCGCTTCTTCAGCCTTTCTTCTCGCTCCCTTTCTCTCCTTCCTTTCCTTAATTTGCCCAGATGGGGTCTGCTGATAGAGTGGGGGTTGGAGAGATGCCGCCTGTAATGAATTCTGTTCTCCGGGCTGAGGGCAGGCTCAACGCTCGCACGGTGGGGCCAGATAATTGTGTCGGGAGACAGAGGACAGGAGATGGGAGAAATTGAACGAGCGGAAGAGAAAAATGAGGGAGCGAGTGGGGAGGAGTGCGTGGAGCGGTGCAGACCTCACGTAGCTGCCTCTGAAAGCGTCCTTGGGAAGGACGGATCTGACCTCCCTGCTCCTGAGACGTGCCTCACCTTGGAGGGAGGTGGCAGCTGCTGCTCTCGCCGCCTGCCCAGCCCTCCTTTCTCCAGCCCCCACACAAAAAGAGAGGCAGCCAGGGGCAGGGAAGGGCATTAGGAAATTTGCAGGGTGCTGGGGGGAGCCCCAGAAGGAGGGAGAGACCCATCTTGTCCTGGCTGTAGGATGGGAGTCCTTGGGCCCAGAGAGCCCAGGAGAGATGGGGATGGGGATGGCGCTGGGTGTAAAGGTGACAGAGCTGCTCCTCACTTGGGTGCTGCTCTCCTGGCTTTATTTTGGTGCTATCCAGAGAGCTGGCTGGCCAGTGGTCACATATTTTCCTCCATGCTGTGGTACAGGATTCTCAAGCAAAGCATTGCTTCACCTCCTGCTTCTGCAGTTGCTGCAAATGCTGTTCCTGCTCCTGACACAGCCAGGGCCACCGGAGCATCCCACCTGTGTGTCCATGCCCCCTCGGCGAGGGCATTTTCCCCCAGCTGGGGCGCTGAGCATTGCACCTACCATCCGCACTCCCTGCCCACTGCAGCACCCAGGAGCAGGGCTGCCATGGCATTGGGATTAAATGCTGCGGGGTCACCTGCCCTGGGTGCCAGGCAGCCCCCACCAGAGCCGTGGTGATTTTGGGGCTTTCCTGCCCGCAGCTGTTGGGTTTGGTCAAAGCACTCTGCACATGCATGGCTCTCTGCCAGCCTGCTTCTCTCCATAGCTTGCTGCTGCCTCACCTTTTGCTCCCTTTACAGCGGCATTACTCGTCTTTGCTCCGGCTCTTCCTACCCAGTGGGATTCCCTGGCAGTGCACTGATGGCCGTAGACGTGCCCGCATAACTATGCAGAGCAGCCTGCTGCAGTAATCTTTCCCAAATCCTCTGCGGACACGACAAAAACCTGCAGACCAGGGCTGGGGCTCGCTGGAGCATCTCTCTAGGACATGCATGGGGTTCAGTGATATTTGCTATATCACCGCAGTGCAGGGGTGCTGCTCTGAGACATGGGGCTCGTTCACCAGGGGGCTTCCTATGACTTGGAGGTGGATGCGTGGGGTGGTTCTGGGTGCAGAAAAAAGCCCTGAGTTTGTGGGTTAGACCCCTGGTAAAAATGGTGAGTTAGTTAACTGCCTCCTGTGGGATTATATGTGCAGGGATGCAGCTAAGGGGATGCTGCTTTGCTCTGGCTTGGGAATTGTTGAGGTATAAATGAGACCAGAGCCCATCACTTTTGCATTGCTTAAAGTGAAAAAATAACCAAATTTGCCCTTTGAGGGCACAGGGGCTACAAGACAGCAGGGAGGGCTGGTAGCAGTGCCATGGCGTGATGGGATGGTGCTCCAGGTCCTCGTGTGCGCTGACCCTGAGCCAGCTCTCGGGTGGCGAGCGTCAGCGCCACGTCCATGCACATCGCTGCTGCCAAACCAAACCATCTCTCGGGACGGCTCCATTTTCACTCGAGAAGTAAACACGAGGTCTTCGTCCTGCCGGTTGGAGGCACCTTCCCTGAGGATGCTCCCCTCTCTCTTGGCAGGGTGAAGAGAGCCCAGTTTGGCCCCCACGACTGGCTGTCTCTCCCCGTGCCAGCTGGTTCCAGCTGGCTCCTGGTGGATACCTTGGAACCGGAGACCGCGTACCAGTTCAGCGTCTTGGCTCAAAACAAGCTGGGCACCAGCTCCTTCAGTGAGGTGGTCACTGTGAACACTCTAGGTGGGTCCTCATAAACACGTGGGGCAGAGGGTCAGGGGGCTTCGGGAAGCCTGCAGAGCAGGGAGCTGGCTCCTTGCCACGTGTCCTGCCTGCTGGGATGGAGCTGGTGGCTGGCAGCAGTGGTTTCCAGCCACAGGGGTATTTTTTTGGAGCATCCTGGATGGAACTTGGGGGCTTTGCTGGATGCTCAGGACACCTAAAAGCTTGTCCTGACGGTTCAGGGGAGCTGTGCTGGTCACCTTACAGATCTTCCTTAGGTTCATCTTGGGTCAGGAGTTATTAACAGAGCACAAAGCCACTTGCGTGCAGCTCAGAGCGGGAGCATCACAAAGGGCCTTGTGCTTGGGTACCCGCCTGGGGGCTGCCTCGCAAGTAGGTCGGGGGAGGAGGAGGCTTTGTGATGCTGTGCCCCTTTTTGTAGTCAGAGCATCTTTAGTCCTCCCTCTTTTTGGAAAGCCGCCTTTGTGTCTCTGAGACAAGAGCATGTGCTGAGACATGTCCTGACCTGGGAGGAGGGAGCTGCTGCTGTGGTCACAGTCTGTCTGTGCTGGTGCCAGCATGTGGGGGAGATCCCGGCACGCTGCTGTTGTGCAGGCTCACCCGCACCTTGCAGGACACCCTGTGCAGGTGCACCAGGAGCCCCTGCTCCGAAATACAAGGGAGAGATCGTGGCTATCACCCCGGGGAGGAGAGCATCCTCTGGGCTTCCCTTACCCCCACCTCAAAGGCGCCTTGTCCCATCCTCCCTGTCCGCAGCATTCCCTGTAACAACTCCAGAGCCTCTGGTGTTGGTTACCCCACCGAGGTGCCTCACAGCCAACCGGACACAGCAAGGCGTCCTCCTGTCGTGGCTCCCTCCTGCCAACCACAGCTTTCCCATCGACCGCTACATCATGGAGTTCCGCGTCGGGGAGAGGTGGGAGATCTTGGACGATGCCATCCTCGGGACCGAGAGCGAGTTTTTTGCCAAGGACTTGTCCCAGGTGAGCTGGGACTGACCCGACACTGCTCCAGCAGTGTGCAGGCATCGCGCTGCCTGCTGTGGCCCCGGGGAGGTGCTTTTTGGGGTGCTGTCCTTCTGACGGATGTGCTTGGTGTTTCAGGACACTTGGTACGAGTTCCGTGTCCTGGCGGTCATGCAGGATCTCATCAGCGAACCCAGTAACGTTGCTGGCGTGTCCAGCACAGGTAAGGGGTGCTGCTTCCTCCTCCCTCCCCGTGCCTGGTGGCTGTGGGACCATTTCTGCTGGCTGCAGCTGGTGCCGTGCCCGGGTGGTGCACCAGCAGCCATGGGTTGGGAGCACTGGGTTTGTGTTTTTTTGCCTGAGAACCCTGGCTGTGAGCTGGGCTGATGGGTGTGGGCTTTGGGTTAGTGTCCCAGCACACAGCTGCTGCCTTTCTGATGGCAGGAAGCCTTCGTTTTGGACTCAGTGCTGGAAATGAGCACTGCAGTGCAGGGGCTGATGCTGGCAGGGCTTTCCACAGCCAAGGGGAGATCTGGGAGGTGGGGGGAGAAGCTGGGGCCCTCCCAGCAGGAATGGAGCAAGGTGCTGAGAGCAGGCGAGGACAACCCCTCGGTTATTCCTTCCTGACGGGTGCGGTGCGGCATCCCTCGGAGCAGAGGGGCAGCTCGGCTCTGTGGGGTGCCCTGAGAACAAAGCTGGGAGCCGGGCGCTGCGCAGCCTAGAAATGGAAATGAAAGGTGCAGAGAGGGAAACGCAGCACTGCAGTGCGGTGTCTGAGAGGGGAAAAAAAAAAAAAACAAAACCACAAAACACAGCAGAGCTTTGCAGTAGGAGATGGAGACTCGCTGCAGCGTGTCCCCTGCACCCCGGTGCAGCTCGGAGGAGCGATTTTCAGCCAGGGCCAGGCAGAGCAGGGGATGGCCATGGTAAGGGAAGGTCTGCAGGAGGAGAGGATGTGATGAGCTGCTAGTATGGCTTTCCTGGAAAAAAAACGAGGAGCCGCCCAGCTCGGCTGCGCGCAGGCATGAAGCGGTCTCTCTCTGCCCCCAAGTGGTGCTGGCGCGATGCAGGGAGCCTGCTCGCTGCCCTCCCAGAGCTGCTGCTCTCCTCTTGCACTGATGTTTCTGATGGGGTTTGACAGCTCAGGGTGCACGGAGCCAGCTGCAGCCTCAGGGTGTGCATGTGCCCTGGCCCTCCTGGGCTGCTGTCCGTGGCTGAGTGCCGGTGCTCCCAGCGGGCGGATGCGCGCTGACCCCATGCGGGTACGTGGCAGGGGCACTGGTGTGTGCAGGATGCGATAACCACTCCTGTGTCTGCAAACAGAGGCAGCTAAATAAGCTCTGGTGGTGGTTCTGATTCAGTCATGGCCAGTGGAGTGGTGTGGTGAGGGCTCGGAGAGAGATACCTGGTGCTGCTGCAGCTGCAGTTGGTTATTATAGGAACCGGGAATAACTGTGGGTGTTGTGCAGCTGTGTTCATCCGTGCATAACCGTGCATTTGTGTGCTGTGAGCACTTTTTCCTGCTGTGTCCATCACCAGAGACAAAGGGTCCATCTCGTGTGAGGTCGCCAAATTACTCGGTGTCAGCCTGCAGCAGCATTCACAGGTCTCCCCACATGGGCTCGGTTTAAGGCAGCGTTTTTGCTTCAAGGTTATCCTCAGTACCAGGAGCGAGCGAGTTGCCTTGCGTCAGGACAGCTTTGCCCTTCAGACTGCAGTTGATCCCCTAGGGAGAAGCAGCAGGCAGGAGTGCGTGCGTGTCTAACACCTGATGGCTGTTATTTATTTATTTTTTTTTATTTTTCCCCAGACGTATTCCCTCAGCCTGACCTGACGGACGAGGGTTTAGCCCGCCCGGTGCTGGCTGGCATCGTTGCCACCATCTGCTTCCTGGCTGCTGCCATCCTCTTCAGCACACTCGCCGCCTGCTTCGTCAACAAGCAACGCAAACGCAAACTCAAGCGCAAGAAAGGTGAGCCCGGCCCCGGCGTGCCTCCCTCCTCCCTCCTGTCTCCTCGTTGTTTCTCTCCTCCTCCTCCTCCTCCCTGGTTGTGTTGTGGTGGTAATGTTCTTCCCTGTCTGTCTCTTCTTCCACCCGTGCGCGTCTTCAGGTGAAGCCCTGACTTCATCCCCCAGCTGTGCCTGAAAGCGCCCGTGGTCGGGAGTGGGAGAGGAAGGGTGGGTGAAGAGGCGGCAGAGAAACCCTAGCCTGGGATGTCCGAGGGCGTGCTTTGGTGTGGTGACAACTCCTAGAGCTTGGGGGCTAGGGCTGGGATGTCCCCTTGGCCGGGGAGGGGACCGTGACCCTCCCCGAGGTCCCCCTGGTGCTGGGCTCTGCCTCGCCTGCACGAGCAGTGCCCGACGGCTGCGCTAGGCTAGAGAAGACCCCATGAAGGAGACTCCGCCGCCCCGCTTCCCTAAAGCTGGGACTGCAGCCGCCTTGCAGGAGCACCCGGTAGGGAAACCACCACCCGTCCAGGCGGCTGGGGAGCTGGAGAGGGCAGGGGAATGGGCTCCTTCGCCTCTAGCGTGCGAGACTGCGGCCGCAGCACTGATAGGAAACTGTGACGGGAGCCGTGTGTTGTCAGCAACCATTAAAGCACTGGAGCGATGAAACCTTGGCCTCTTGTTGAGTGTCTTCTTTTGTGGTTGTGATGTTGTTTGTCTGTCTCTGTCTTGTTGCGCCTCCTTAGCGTTCTCTCTTCTTTCCCCTTTTTATTCTCTTCCAGACCCTCCTCTCTCGATAACCCACTGCAGGAAGAGTTTGGAGTCCCCGTAAGTATCTGTCTTAGATGCGGCACCAGGCTGTGGGTCTTCACGGTGCCTCTTTCTACAGTTGTTGCAAAGGTCAAATGGCAATGTCTGGCCTTGTTGTATTGCTGCTGATGGTTTGGTTTTCGTGTTCCCTGAACTTGTGGGAACAGAACGGTTCGCAAGAGACAAACAGGCTTTGGAGCAGAAAGCAGCAGGGACAAACACAGCAAACTTTAGGACTTTAAGGGACGACCGGTGGATCTGTACACCTTGACCAGGTGGAAAGGAATTACACACCCAGGCTTGAAGTGGCTCCTCAGGAAACGGGCTACTGCTGCGTACGGAGTCCTTCATGCAAGCCCAGAGTAGTTTTGAGTTGTGCTGTTTGTTTTTTCTTGGGAAATTCAGACTCTTAACTGCGTATCTTGTCATTTCCCATGAAGAATCTCCTGCCAAAGCCTCTTTCCACGTGTGCCCAAAGGCTGTGGATTGTGATGCTGCGCTAGCCACAACTCTTAAGAGCCTGTCAAAAGCACTTGTAGGTACTAAACAGTGGGAACATCTTCCTGATGTGAGTGCAAGAAAGAGTCTGAGGTGTGGACTCCTCGTGCTTAGTCTCCTGGACAGCTGCAAAATGTCCCAGTGCTGGTGGATCTTAGTCTTGCTCTTTTCAGTTCATCCACGGCACTGAAATACCGTGCCCACACCATCTCTGTTGGATCTGCTACCTTTTGCCCTTCAATCCTGTTTGTCCAAGGCTTTCTGACTAGGGATGCTGTTCTGATGTTTGTCTTCCCCTGCCACCTCTGTGTCTTTTGAGGCTCTCAGCCTTAAATTTGAGTACTCAGAATGGGGGAAAAAGTTGATTTGATATCATCTGTCAGCAGCTCCAAGTGAGATGCTGAGGTCTGCAGGAGGGGATGCTTGTCTGCCATCCCTCTGGAGCCCTAAAAATCGGGGAGCACCTCCTCTTGGGGGCTTCCCCAGGTGTGGGTAGCTCAGGTGAACGTAGAAAACTTTTGAAGGAGCTGGAAGTGAGCTCGGGATCTTTCATTCTGATGGGACTGTGGAGCTTGTTGCAAGGCACTGGAGTGAACTGCCTGCCCTAAGGGGGATGGTGTACCCGAGGAGCAGGTATGATGTGTGGTGCTTCTGGCTCCTCTCTTCCACTTGCTTCTTGCAGCCTTTGTTGGAGCTGGGCAAGGCTCTGCCGTCTTGGTAGTCCCCACAAATTTCTTCTAGCAGTTCCTCCTTGGAGAGCCGGTAATGCTTTGTTTTCTGGATCCAGCAGCTCTTCTGGGCGAGAAGGGCTCCTTTCCCCTCGGTGACCGCCCCCTCTCTCGGTTTTTCTCCCCTGTGGTCCAGGTTGTCTTCCGGCAAGGTGAGTCCCGAGAGCATCCGCACGCTCCGTCCCCCCTCCGAGTCCTCCGACGACCAAGGCCCGCAGGCCAAGCGGATGCTGAGCCCCACCAAGGAGAAGGAGCTGTCCCTCTACAAGAAGACCAAGCGGGCCATCAGCAGCAAGAAGTACAGCGTCTCCAAGGCGGAGGCCGAAGCTGAGGCCACCACCCCCATCGAGCTCATCAGCCGCGGGCCGGACGGCCGCTTCGTCATGGACCCAGCCGAGATGGAGCCCTCCCTGAAGACGCGGCGGATCGAGGGCTTCCCCTTCGTGGAGGAGACGGACATGTACCCCGAATTCCGGCAGTCGGACGAGGAGAACGACGACCCCGTCGTCCCCGCCTCCGTCACGGCCCTCAAAGCCCAGCTCACCCCTCTCTCCTCCAGCCAGGAGTCCTACCTTCAGCCACCAGCATACAGCCCCCGGTTCCACCGGGCGCTGGAGGGTCCCGGCGCCCTGCAGCCCACCGGCCAGGCTCGCCCACCGGCCCCCCGGGCTTTCCACCACCAATTTTACGGTTACCTCAGCAGCAGCAGCCCCGGGGAGGTGGACCCGCCACCCTTCTACATGCCAGAAGTCAGCCCGCTCAGCTCGGTCATGTCCTCCCCGCCTCTGCACCCCGAGGGACCCTTCGGACACCCCACCATCCCCGAGGAGAACGGGGAGAACGCCTCTAACAGCACGCTGCCCCTGGCCCAGACCCCCACGGGGGGCCGGTCCCCCGAGCCCTGGGGCAGGGCCGAGTTCCCCTTCGGCAGCCTGGAGGCGTCCCCCGCGGCGTTCCCCCCCCAGCTCCAGCAGTGCGAGGCGGCCGAGGGCTCCCAGCCCACCGGTTGTCTTCCTCGGGGGCCGCCCCCTTCCTCTCTCCAGGTTGTCCCCGCGTCCTACCCGGGCATCCTGCCCCTGGAGGCACCAAAGAGTTGGACTGGCAAGTCACCCGGCAGGGGCCAACCCTCCGTGCCCCCCACCACCACCACCAAGTGGCAGGACAAACCTATGCAACCCATGGGATGTCAAGGGCAGCTAAGACATACCAGTCAAGGTATGGGCATACCCGTGTTGCCTTACCACGAACCGTCCGAGCCCGTCGGCCACAGCGGCACAAGCACATTCAGCCTGGACACCAGGTGGTACGAGCCCCAACCCCGACCTCGGCCCAGCCCTCGGCAGGTCAGGAGGGCTGAGCCCAGTTTACATCAGGTGGTGCTACAACCTTCGAGGCTTTCTCCTCTGACCCAAAGCCCCCTCAGCTCCCGCAACAGCTCCCCGGAGCTGACCGCCCGCGCCCGGCCCCGGCCGGGGCTCATCCAGCAGGCGGAGGTGTCGGAGATCACCCTGCAGCCCCCCGCGGCGGTCAGCTTCTCCCGCAAGTCCACGCCGTCGACCGGATCCCCCGCGCCGAGCAGCCGGGGAGAGAGCCCCAGCTACCGACCCACCACGGCCTTCACCCCCCTGGCCAGCGGCTATTCAGGCTCCCAGGGCTCCTCCCTGCCCGCGGACACCATGGATGTTTTCGGAGACATCCCTTCTCCGAGGAGGGCTAGTGAGGAGATCCTCAGACCAGAGCCCACATCGACAACGGTAGCCACCACGGGGTAAGTGCGTGAGACCCCGTGGTCCCCCCCCTCCCTGCCCAAAAAAAACCCCTTGCCCCCAGCCCCCTCCCGGCTTTCCTGCCCCGCCTCACCCCCCCAGTCCCTCTGCCCCCTTCCCCACCATCATCATCCCAACTCGTAGGGTCGCTCTGGGTACGCTGCAGCATCCCTTTTGGAGATGGCGTCCCGCGGGCTTTGCTAGGACGTGGCTCTGAAGAGGCTCGTGCTGCGGGCGCAGGGTGCATGGCCGCTGCCCGAGCCGGCTCGGGGTTAGGCAGGCGGCCTTCCCGGTGCTGCCGGCGCGCTTTCCTCCTCCCCTGACCTCTCACGTGGGAACCGGGAGCTCTGTGCCTCGGGCTGCGGGCCGTCTGCCAGGCTGGCAAAGACCTGGGCCACCGGGCCCGGCTCCCGGCTCGCCTAGGTAAGTGTCCTGGTGTCACCGGCGGTTGTTTCCTCTTCTAGCTGCTGGCTCTTGGCTTTCTTCGAACGTTAGGGCCGCCGCGCCTTTGTCTTCCTTCTGTTCCTTCCTTCCCGCGGAGTCTAGAGAGCTTTAATGCATGACAGAAACAGCTATAAAAGTCACCGCCCCATCTGCAAAAGGGATGCTGCAGCCCCAGGACGCGGGCAGGGAGAGATCGAGGACTTAGCCCCACCAGCAGCATGTCAGGAGAGGAAAAAAAAAACACAAAACACAAAACCAAAAAACCCCAGCGGAAATCAGGAGGCCGCCGGCACGCTCAGATCCTGCCCTAAAGAGGGATGTGGCTGCACTAGACAGACAGTAGCGGCTGGTTTTCCAGGTACCAGGGTTGCTCCAGGCAAAAGCGTCTTTCTCTCTCTGTATTTCTCCTCTCTCCCTCCGTCTCTTTCACAGCACCCTAGATCCCGTAGCCGTGCTTTCGTTCCATCCTTTCGTCTCGCTTCATTTCGGCTTGTTGTGTTGGGGGGGCCGAACCCCTCGGCTCGCGGTGGAGCCGGGGCACCCAGCCCCATGTGCCGGCGCGGTCGGAGGCGTTCGGAGAAGAGCCGTGGTTTTTTTGGGGAGGGGGGAGGCAGCCTTTCACCCCTGCAGTGCCCTCCGCATTTCACTCCCACCCTCTGGTACCTGGAAGCGTTATGGCCTTAGGAAATCCCTCCGGCACGGCTGGGGATGGGGTGCGTAGGGTGCAGGAGGGCTCACGGGAGAGGCTGGGGAGGGAGAAGACCTGAAGGAGCCTGAGATGACTTCTGCGTGGCTTTTTTGGGAAGGCAGATCCGTAGCGATGCAGGCACGCACGGTCACGTAGGTCCATGTCTCCACGCAGTCTCAGAGCCAGGGCGCCCCAAGGAGCTCCAGGTGCAGGACAAGTCTGTGTTAGAGCACTGTTGTCCGTGCTTTTATGCAGTGTATCCATTCGCTTCGTCGATTTATTATTTTTGTTCTTTTTCCTTTCTCTTCTGTTTCTTTCCCCCTTTCTTCTCCAGCCTTGTTTCGTTTGTGTTTCAGTTCGGTTTCTTTCCCTCCTTTTTCCTTTGGAGTTGTTGACGTGCTGATGTGTTGCGGAGCTCGGCTCCTTGCGGGTGTTGATAACTGCTTTGTTTTTGATTAATCTCAGCTATCTGGGCAGTGTTGTCGAGACAAGCTTCTCCTCAGCTCAATAGGTAAGGGTGATCCATGTCCGAAAGGATGGTGTGGGCGCTGTGGAGGGTGGCCGGGAGCGGGGCATGAGAGGGGACATGGAAGGGGCTTTTCCAATACCATCTCTTCCTTTAAAGGGGAATAAGGAATTGTCAAACACTAGGCAACACCTCTGGACGCACAGTCTCTGTGGCTTTTGGGTTTCCCCTCTCCCTTTGGGGAGGCAGCGTGGCTGGAGAGCCTGGTGGTGCAGCTGTGTTGGGCGCGGTGATGCTCGTGTGTGTGTGCTGGGGCTCGCCGAGCTGGCATCTGCCCATGACTGTGGCTTCTTTGGCAGAGGATGATGCTAGGAGGCACCCCTGGCTCTGGCAGGGCTGGTGTTGGCGAGGCGTGTGCTGGGACCTGCTTTCTCCAAAGCCTGGAGTCCTGCACCTTGAGCCAGATGGAATAACTTCTTACAGGACAAGCCGGCTCCTAATGGTGCTCCTGGGCTGCAGCTCCAGAATAAGTCCCCAGTTCTGTTCCAGAAATTGAGATTTTTGGTTATCTTGGATCTATTCCTTCTTCCCAAGGTTTATTTATCATAGAAAGTGAGAGAAGCCTTTTTTTTTCAAGGTAGACTTTATGGTTGGCAGCAGTGTACCTACAGTTTGAGGCCGCCGGCGAGGTGTTTCATCCTTCCCGTGGCAAATGTAGTTGTAGTGAAAGCCCTCCCTCTCCGAAATGCTCCTTGGAGAAATCTGTAAGACTTATTCTGACCCAGTTGTAATTAAACAGCCCTAAGCAAATCTGGAAAGATTCTCCCAAGAAAATACCTCTCCGGGGCTCCCCTGGTGGGGCTGCTTTTCTAGAAGGCCACGGGCATCCCTGGAGCAGCAATGGAGCAGTCTGGAGATGGTTTCCTGACCCTATAAGCAGATAACTTTTGCATTTTCCCCCTTTTCACTAAAACTGATAAAATCAGGTGGGATAAATCTCATTCCCAGCCCAAGAAAGCAGAACACTGACCCATTGCGCTGTCAGCCAGGCTGGTTATGAAAGGAGAGCTGGGATCGCAGATAGGATGGTTTGTGGGGCCTGGCCATGCCCAAGCCTTTTTAGGACTGGTCTTCAAAAACTGAAGCTTGCAGCCTTGGATGGGAAGAGTCAAGGTCCTGGCTGAGGCTCCTTGAACACCATGAGGAGCCTTGCAGGAGTGGAAGGGAGCCCTGTGAGAGGGAGGTGAGGTGCCTGGGGAAATGGGGTGGATATTTCCAGGAGAGAGGAATTCTTCCAGCTCACGAGGAGGTTTGTCCTGGGGTGAGGAGAGCAGTGGGGAAGGGAAGGCAGGAAGGAGTGTTGGATCGTGGTGATGGGAGCAGGTATGGGATGTGAGCTCCATGGAGGAGCCACAAACCTCTCGGCACAGCAAAACCCTTTAAGGTTTGAGCCTTGTGGTCTCCAAAGCTCTTGAGCGCTTGGCACCTTCTGTTCTCCTCTGCTGATCCCAGAGCAGGGTGTCCGATGCAAAGATCCTACTGAAACTTGTTAAAACCATTGGGGCTGTGCCAAACTTATTGAGAAAGGGAAGCCCTTGTGGCTGGTTTGTGTCGTCTTTATCCCCTGTGCTTCCCTTAATCCTGGAAACCTGAGCGAATGCAGCATCAGCCCGGCCTTGCTCAGTCCCAGCTCGTGTCCCCAGTTGTTGTGGCCCATGTACAGGTCCCATTTAGCTCCCATCTGAGCTGGTGGGGATTTGGGGAGCAGGGTCCCATCGTCCAGCAGGACGCTGGCTGAGGAGCAGCCCTGTGTCCTGCTCGGAGTTGCAGGAGCGAGTCCAGAGTCATTATCCAAAAAAAAAAAAAAGAGAAGCCATAAGGAAAATAAATCTCGCTCTAATAAGCGAGGAATCCCGTAAAGAGCCCAGCCAAGTAATTTCTTGATGATTTGGGGTCGTAAAATTTGTCAGTGGATGCAGAGCGTGGGGATTTTGTACTAGAGCAGCTAGCTTTCTGTACTGCAGCAATAAAAGCTGAGAGGAGGGGAGGGAGAGGCAGTTTGCGAGCTCGGTGGTGCTGGGAGCAGGAGCTGTTGCACGGTGGCTTTTGCTGGTTGAAGCCTGGGTGGTTTTTATGGACAAACAGGGATAAATAATGCCATTTGTGGGCTAGCACGAGCACTTTTTCATCTTCTGCTTGGATGCAGCGTGCGGCAACGCATCCCCGAAGAGGCAAGAGGGCGTTGTTGCCTCCCTGCAGAGGGAAACCCAAAAACCACAGACCAGGCACCAAGCCCCCGCGCCCCTCGGCATCGCAGCCTGCTCTGGGTGGTCTCCCCGGCCCCCCCTGGCCGGGGCAGTGCTGCTGACACCGGGAGCTCGCGGGCTCGGGCGCGTCGGAGCCTCGGGTGACGCAGGGACGGCGGCGCCAGGCGTGCGGGAGGAGCAGCAGCCCTCGCTCCCCGCTTGAAAGCAACCAGGTTCCCCTTTAAAGACTGTCCATGTGCTGATCCTCTGCATGTGTTTCATGCCTCCTCCCGCTTGGAGAAGTTGTGAGTCCTCCTGTCTGAGTGCGTTTTTCTTTCCTTTCTTAATTATTATTTCTTTCTTTTCAGTCTCTTTTTTTTTTTCCTTTATATATTTTCTCACTCCTGTTTTTCATTTATCTTCCTCTCTTCCCCCCTTGCTTTCCCCGTGACTATATCCCCATTTTCTCTCTCCGCTCCAGTCCCTTTTTCCCTCGCCCTCTCTCCTCCCTGCTCCTCTCCCGTCAGCATGGTGGAGTCCAGTGGTGTAGCCGAGTTGTGCTGTCTGCAGACCTGTAGGAGGGCCCCCCCCTTCTCCGGTGTGCCCCCCGCTCTCACCAGCCCCTTCCACCCTCTGGTGCCGTGGCTGTGCTCTGGGGACAGGGGCTGTGACCGCCGCGTTTCTCCAGCACTGCTCATGCTCAAGGATCTCAAGCGATGCTCGGTGGCGTCCCGGGATGGCACCGCCTCAGGGCCGAGGGCGAATTCTCGCTTGCAGGACACCTTGTGGGATCCCACGGGACTCGAGCTCGAGATGGAGCCTCGTGTAGGCAGGTTGGGCGCTTCGCATGAGGAGGATGAAGGGTTGAAAAAGCCTGGCTGGGGCGTGGTGGGCTCTGGTGATGGCCAAGAGGATGCTCTGACGTGTCCAAGCTGTTCCTGGATGTCGCTGTCTTGGCTCAAGGAGAGGAGGAGGCAGGGGACATCACGCACCGTGTCCTTGAATGTCACAGCCTGCGTTTTCTCATGGGTTCCCCCTTGTGGGCTGAAAAGGAGTAGTGATGCTTTCAGGGGCCTTCTCCCTTCATCTTTGCTTTGAATGTGGAAAAAAGTTTGAAGAAGATGTAGCTGAGATACGTGTGGTCGGGGTAACTCTCCCTATAGCCACCTCCTCCTGTCCTGGGGTGCCCGGAGCTCCCTCAGTACCTTCACAGCCTCTCCAGGACCACATAATTCAGACCCTTTCTCGTTCAGAAGGGCTGTCCTTTGAGGACTTGAGGAAAATGCTGTGCTGGATGTTTTGTGGCATCTCGCAGAAAGGCTCAGGAAATTGCGTGTGTTTCTTGGAGCTCCTTTGCTTGGCAATGCACTGAAGTCTCCAGAAGTTCACCCGCCTCCCTCAACCTCTCATCTGTCGGTGCGCAGGATCTCTCACGCACGGGCAGCTGCCCAAAACACCAGCTCTGGGGGCAGGAAGAGGCTTTTGGCTGGGCTCGAAATGAAAATTAATTCCAATGAATCGGAGACCTTTGAAGGAATAAAGGGTGGGTAGAGCAGATAAAATTTGGCTGGTGTGTAGCAGCGCTTCGTCCTCCACTCCATCTCTTCCTTGCCAGAGGTCAGACAGTATTTATAGTGACACATGGGTTCAGTGCGCTCGCTGTTGATATTTGTGTGCATAAATACAAGCCCAATTAGGGAGAACTAGTGGAAATGAGCTCCAGGCAATTTCCTCATAATCCCTTGCGTGAATCTGTCTGGTTTTGTCAACATGCCACAGTCACTAGCAGCTCCTTAGAAGAGGAAAGAATGGAAACTAGGGAGAGGCTTTTATGTGTGAAGCTCTAGCAATAGAAATAAAGTTGTTTGGGTGGTGGAAGAGGGATGCTGATGGGCAGTGGCAGGATCTCTGAGCTATCGTGCATCCAGGGCTTGGTGCATGTGAGCTCCGCAGGCACAGGACCGGAGCTGGAGTAGCTGAGGCTGTGACTGACCACGTACTTACCCAAATGCAACTGGTGTGCAGTTATTTGTGCCCAGTGGGCATAAAATGGAAAAATAAAGCTTGCTATTGAACTGTTCCTGCAGGAGATACTGCAGGGATGTCCCATGCTGTTGGCTCTTTGGGTCACTGCGGTCTTTCTCCAGACCAGCACATGCCCAGGGTGCAGCACAGCGGCTGTCAGCGTTGGTGCAAGTCAGCAGGGAGAGCCTCAGCAGAGCTCAGAGCTGCTGCTGGCAGCATTTCTTGCTGGAGGCTGCCAGCACATGGCAGCTGGGGCCTTGGGAAGAACACATTTAAGACACATTTAAGCGCAGCGGCTGTACAAGCTTGTAAATGTCTTTCCTACAAGGGAAGGCTTGCGTGGATCCAGCCGGCAGGACTACCAGCTCGTCTAACGAGGTGCTTCATCTTGGGCTGATGTGCTGCTCAGCTGGGAGCTGGAAGAGAGGATCTCCAGGAGCATCTCATCTACGCCTTGATGTCTCTGTTGCGATGGGAGGCATGAAAGGGGCTTTTCTATACCCCAGTTGTTGGGTTCCCATCACATCTGCCATCCCCAGCTGCTTCGTCAAATTATGCTGCGCTTTCCTTGGTGCTCTCCAAAGCTAACAGCAAGAGGGAGAGGCTTTGTAGCCACGTGCATCTTCAAAAACCAACCCCTTCTGCTCCTCATGGGGGAAAGGAACCCTTGGGAGCTCTCTGCCTGCACCACTCCAGCTGAAGTGTGAGCTGCTGCAGCAGCCGCTTGGGATCTCGGATGGAAAGCGTTGCCTTCGAGCCGTGCTCGCACCGGTGGTTTGTGGCACGCATGGAGACTCCAGAGGGAAGCCTTCTGCTGGAGAGGCTCCCCCCGAAATCCGCAGGGAGATGAGGGGTCCTGTCCTCGAGGTCACATCGCTCCTGGCTCTGGGTTTGCTCTTGCCAATGCATTCATTGGTTTACACAAAAAGCTCGTGTAGCCCAAACCAGTTGGTATTTTCAGACAGTGCCCTAGCTGGCATCCTTGCCACAATTCTCACTTGATTCTTATCGCCTTCCTCATCTGCAGCAGTGTCAAAAGGGGAAGGTGGGAGTGCCTTGTTGGTGCTGCTGCCATGGGGCTCCTCGCTGTTTCCTATGCACACTTTTTTCAGCATGCCCTGTGTTCTGAGCCTGTTGTGGTTATTTGCTGCTCCTGGCTTCTTGGACTGGATAATCAGAATTCCTGGAGTGAATAATCTGAAGTGTGATGAATTGGGAACAGAAGAGAAGCATCTTGTGTTTGGGTAGGAAGTCAGCCTGTTGAGAAGGGTTTGCCCTCTAGAAGATGTGGGCTCCTGTTCCTGCTGAGTCGCTCTGTAACTGTGCTGGGGATGTGCCACGTACTCGCTCCTTGCTGGTGGCTGACTTGGAACCTGCCCTGGGGAAGAGCTTAGCTCCAGATTTCTGCTGCCGATAGCTCTGGAGGCATGAGGAGCCCTGCACAGCTTCAGAGGTGCTGGAGGAGGAGACTTGGAGCACGCTGGCTGCGAGCAGGGGACGGGATGAGCTGGTGTCTGAGCCCTGCCACGAACACAGAAGCCTGAAGACCCAGGAGCTGCTCTCCTCACTATCTGACAGCTCTATCTGCGTGGCTGACCTGGTGACAAGGTTTGGGCACTGACCTGCAGTGACTGGGTTGTTAGACCAGACGTGTGCATCTCCTTCTCTGCAGGGCGGGACGGGGTGAGCGCAGGCCTTGTCGGAGGCACGCTGCTTCAAATCTCCAGGCTCTCCTCTCCGCCTGGCTTCAGGGGGTGGCTTTGTTGCAATGATAGGTACTTTGTGGATGCTCCCCGTGCCATCTCTGGGCACCTCGTGTGCAGGTTGCTCTGACTCAGATTGATCCCAGCTCACTACCTGGGGCTTGGCTGCCTTGACTCAGACTGGCTTGTGTGGCCTGAGGTGTTTGTGCAACTTGGAGAGACATGAAAGTAAAACTCAGGGGGAAGAGAGGGGGGATGCTGTGATGGGTTATAGATGAGAGCTGGACCAGCTGCTCTCCTAAGGAAAAGGTTTTCTTTTACTGCCCTGCTCTCTACAGCAGTCCTACCTTCCACTCCTTGGCCAGGGAAAAACAGGTACAGTGCAGGAAAATAGAGTGAGAGCCCTTTGCGAAGGGGAGACCACTTCACCTCGAGCAGGTTCCTGTACAACAGCTACCTGGGGACTAAGTCTGGGAAACTATTGCTTTTAAATACTGACTCTCCCACCAGAGAAATTGCTGTGCAAACCTCCTCCTTGTCCCTTGCAATGAAATCTTGTTGCTGTTTTTGTCTCCGAGTCCTGGTGCGCCCTGTCCTGCCGGGCCAGAGCATCCAGCTCCTGGCAGTCTTGGATTTACAGAGCAGGAGCTCCCGTGCTGCTGTATTCTGTTGTCGCTTCTAGCAGGGACCTGGGAGCGAGGTGCTGACCCCAGCTGTGCCCTTCATGTCCCTGTCTGTCGTGTGGCCCTGTTTCTTCTCCACGTGAGCAGGGCCAGGCAGGATCCCTGCCTCCGTCCTGTTTGTTGCGCCGGTGTCACCCGCCCTGTGTCGCGCACGGCCCCGGTCTCGGAGCTGTCGTGCTGCTTCTCCGTCTCCCCCTCCCTCTCCATCCTAAGGGGTTTCCCACTGCTTCCCAAAAATGCCTTATCGGACATGGGATCTGCCCCGTCCTTTGTGTCTAGCGGTGCCGGCGTGGCAGGCAGGTGAGCCGGGTGCCGCACTTGGACTTTGTGACGCAGCCGAGCCGGGGGTGCGAGGGAGGGGACGGTGGCACACACGTGTGGAGCCTCCCGTCTCCTGCAGCGTGTGCCTGGCATGCCTGGCTGGCCGTGCTGCCTCCTCCCGGGCTTCTCACCTTTTCCTTCTCCATGGCAGAGCTGGCTGGGGTCGACCGCCCCCCGCCTGGGACACCCCAAGGTCCGAGCGTGGCCCGGAGCCGCTGACGGCGCGTGTCTGCTTTTCCTTTCTAGAAAACGTCCATCTCCGTCCGGGGACGCTGCTGCACCTGAGAGGCTCGAAGCTCTGAAATACCAGCGGATAAAGAAGCCCAAAAAGTCATCCAAGGGCTCCTCGAAAAACAGAAAACAATCCAGTGAGTGTGAGGACCCCACGGTCCCCAGCAGCGTCCCCTCGGTGCCCCGTGGACAGCTCAGGCTGGTCCCCGCTGGCTCCAGCACTGGGTTGGTCTCTGGGCTCCTCCTGCCCAGCTCCTGCCTCCCAAATGGATGGCTGCTTGCACCATGCGCTGTCCTTCCCCTGCTCCAAACCGCATTCCTCTTCCATCCTTTAACATCTACCCATCTCTAGCGGCTTTCTTTAGGATTTTGTGTTCTTTTTCATGCTGCCCAACCTACTTCTCACATGGCAGAGCCCCCATCCTGACCTCTTCCTCTCTCCACTCCCCTCGAGGTGACCTTCCCCTTCCTCCCTTGCAAACACCCTTTCTCCTTCCAGCCAAAGTCTCCCCCTTCCCCACCTCTCGGGCAACAGGATTTGGGGTGGCACGGGGCGGAGGACCGGAGCCTGATGTAATCTGTTTTGTGGCACACCTGGCACCACTGCCTCTCACCCATCTGCCTCCTCTCCTCCGCAGACGGCTCTGCCTCCCAGGTTCAGCACCTTCCCAGCTCTCAGGTACTGTGGCCTGACGAAGCTGTCTGCCTCCGCAAGAAGAAGAGACACCCTCGTCAGGACCCCTTCGCCCGCCTCTCGGCGCTCAAGGACGACCTCTGCCACCGGCAGCTCCCCGAAGACCAGACAGCCATCCTCAACAGCGTGGACCACGACGACCCCAGCGGGCACGCCACTTTGCTTTAGCCTCGCGCCGGCCCAAGAAGGTTAAAAAAAATAATAATAGGGGTTTGGAGGGAGCTGGAGCCTCGTCTGCGTGCACGCCGGGCCGGGGGGTCATGGCAAGGATGAGCTGGGGGGGACCCTGGGGTGGGCTGGGGTCCAGGGGGGATGCCTGGGGCTGCTCTGATCTGCATCTCCCCCTTACGGCTTCAGGGGGGTGGGCAGGGGGTGTTGCATCCTTGGTTTCGGAAAAGATCTCCAGATGTAAAAGGCACAGGCGGAGCTTTTGACATCTGCTTCTGCAGCGTGCGTGTAGGTAGAAATTGTGGAGTTAAGCAGCTGGCCCTGAATCGCTGGAAGAAATGACGCGGGGCGTAATTAATTGACATGAAACTACCAGTCCAACTAACAACTGGTAATCCCCTGAATCTGATTATGATAGAATGAGACCAAATAATCCCAGGAAAGCTGTAATTGTGAAAATCTCCTTGCCTCCCCCTTCCCAGCCTCCCTTTATGTGAAGATAACAGCAACAACAATGTCACTGACATCTTCCCTTACCGATCTCTGAAAGGGAAAACCAGAAAGACCCCAAGGCTTCAAACCAGCCTGAGATTGAGAAATCACAATCTGTCTGTGCATATGTGCTTTAACCTTGTTAACGTGTGCCGAACACTTTGCAAGCACGCAGGTACGGGCCTGTTTTCACCCGCGGGTGAGCATGGCTTGTGTCAGCCTAGATGAGGGTGGTTTTGCTCAATCCTTCCTGACACTCCGTGTATCACTAGCAAATGTTCTCCAGTGCCGTGCAGTGATGTGATTTCGTCCTACGGTAACGTTTGTCATCTTTATCCGTAACTGCAGAACGGGGCGACGCCGTTGTAGGGGTGCGAGCGAGCGGGGTTGGGCTGCGTAGACCCCAAAGCCTCTCGTTGGCAGCTCGCTGATCCCGAGCGAGGGCGGCTGGGAAGTGCCCGGCTCCGTGGCTCACGGCGGACGGCTTCTCCGAGCAGCCTCGCAAAGCTCAGCCCAGCATTTCGCATCGGTCTGACCCGTGGTGCTGCTGGTTTCGCTGCGTGCCCCTTCCTCCTGCTTCAGCCCAGCTGCCCAGGCGACCTGCGACACCTGCTTTGGGACTTGTCCCTCTCTTTGCCCCGTCCCAGGAGCCCCGCTGTTCCCCTCGTGGTAATGCTGTCCTAACTCTTCACCAGAATGTATTTCCTCTTCCTAGGGCAGGTTCCTTTTGGCAATTGACGTTTCTCTGGGTTACGTAGGCCTTTTTTTCGGCAGGGAAGCTGTAGCCTGCTCCAAGAACCACCTGGCTTCGGCTTCTCTTCCCTGCTCCGCCTCCACTCTCAAACTGCGTGGCCTTGGGCAAGTCACCGAGCCTCTCTGTGCCTCAGTTCTCCCATCTGTAAAATGGGGACAAGTCATATTTCAGCACTTTTGTCAAGGCACTTGGCTGTCTAGTGGGCTGCCAGTGCTACCTGCGTACTGAGTGCTATTACTACCACGTGAACCCTACCTTCAAAATAGTTAGAGATATTTTTTTTGAAGTGGTAAGATCGAACACTTAATTCAGGTTTGCACACTTCTTCCTCTCTGGTAAAGTGCTAAACCCGCCAGCCTGCCTGGGAATAAATACCAAGTACTTCCTGTGGATATCCTTGCTTTAAGTGGATTCAGGCTGTGGAGAAATTGTCAGGAGAACCCAAGAGCCTGTAGGCATTTTTTTTTGCCATGGGCTTGCCATTTGCTTACAAAACTTTAGTTTATTCCCAGGTAGAACTGCCAAGAGATGCTCTGCAATCTCGCCTTTAATTGTGGTTTGCCTTGGTTATTGCTCTTGCTGCTGGTTGAACCTCAAAGGGCTTCGATGTTTGGAGAAACGCGCGAGCTCTCGCCTGCCTGGCCAGGGCGAGGGGTCGGGGGACGGCAATGCCAACAAGCCAAACTCCCCAGGAGGTTCTAGGTAGAAATCTGTTCGTCAGTCTGCCTAGAAATTGCTGTTTCTCCAGGATGTTGTGCTTCCTCTTCCATCGGGATGTTCGGAAACCTGCGACAGTGGCAGCAGAGCACCGCGTCTTTCCAAATCTCAAAGCCCTGCCTTAGGTTCAAACCACTTGACAGAATCCTCTAATCGATAAGGAGATATTTTCAAGCTTTAACAACTTCATTTAGGTGGTCTTCAAACCGTGAGCAGATTTGTCGATTTGTCTCGGGAAGGAGGGAGGGTTGCTCAGAAATGCCTCTCTCCCTAAGCCTGCATCAGGGCTCTTTTTTTATTTCGAGAACCTCGTGACCTGATGTAATGCCATCAACCACCAGAGCGAGACTTCGACTTTGCTAACAGTATGACCGAGTGTTTCTTTTATTTGAGTGTGTTTTAGGGCTTTACCTAGAATCCACTTGGATCTGAATTGATTTAATGCCATTTGCCCGTTCGGCAGTGGGAAAAACTCTGCCTGGGTGACTTCAGCTCCCTGGCGTGGGTGCGAGAGGAGCTGATTTCTGCCCCAGACCGTGGCTGATGTTGCAGCGGAGAGGACACGGGGCCGTGGGGGGCCGCATCCAGCCTCCCTGAGGATGCCCGATGGGGCGAGCGGGTGCCTCGGTCGTGGACGTGAGCCCCACAGGTGACGTTCACCCCGCGCGGGGCCGGGGACGCTCCGCGGCGCGATGCCCCGCTGGGTGGGGGGTGCGTAGGCTCCGTGCCGCAGCTTGCTCGCTCGTCCTTTCGCTCTCGTGGCCTGGACCTCTCTAGCAGAAAGCTTCCTTTTTTCCTTCGAGTACTTTCCAAGCTATTTGCGATGCCCGTTTGTTACGGGCGAGGCAGCGTCTTCGGGCTCTTGAGGTTTTGACCTCGGGACCGTGCCCCCGTCCCCGCCGTAAGGAGGAGGATTTGGAGCGCAGGGAAGGTTGACGGAGCGCGCCAGCTTGCTTGGTCAATCTTTTGAGAGTTTGTTTTCCTTTTTGCAGGTGTTTTGAGCCGATGGGCCCCCCTGCTTTTCATGGTCTTCGACCTTTAAAGGCTGGAGCTGCAGCCCTCTCTCTTTCAGCCGTGTACCTGCCACGCTGCTGGAGTGGGAAATCCCGCCAGGGCGCCTCGTGGACGCGTCTCTTCCCTAAACCATCCTTACCTCCTTTCCCCGCTAGACCGAGTTACCTTCTGATAGACTCTTGCCACGTGCTGGGCCGTGCTTTGGCAGATGGGCTCGCCTCTTGCTTTGGCAACTTCCTCGCTTCTCCCAGCTCTCTGGTTTCCATGCCCTTACGGGGTTTCTCTCCTCTCCTCTCCTCCCGCGGACCTGGGACATCGAAGCTGTGCCAGACGATGCCAAACGTTTTCCCCCATTCCATCCCTGTTTGAACTCCGTTTTGTTTTGGTTGTTTGCAAACACGGCTGCTGCTGCTTTTTTTCCTTTTTCTTTCATGCTGCAAAATATATCTTGATTTTTTTTATCTTCATGGGCCAAACTCTCTTATTTTGTAAGCTTGTCCGAGGTAGATGGTTCTTGCTGCGGTGGTAAACGTGTGGTTCCTCCTTGCATGGCGCAAACGCGATGCGTTCCATTAGGTCTCATGCAACGAGCTGGGCTGTGGTGGATAAAATGCTTCTGTGCCTGATGAGGGCATTGTCCTTGGGCTGTGCCAATGTGTCCGTGCAGCGAGCACCAGCTCTGGGGGCCCGGTGCTGCTGGTGGGTGGGAGCAGTGCCCTAGGTAGGGGTGTCTGGTGGGCTCTGCCCACTGCAGCCAGGCTGTGGGGCTGGGGGAGCACCGAGGCTGCTGCAGGTTTGTTCTGCAAGCATTAGGAAGTGAGAAACGGGCAGGATACAGATGCCCCAAGCTGGGGGTGGATAACGTAGAGAGGTGTGGACCCCTTGAAAGGGTGGCTGTAGGGTGCCATCCTGCGCACCCTGCACATAAAATTGGTGCTTTCCCTTTGCAGGCAGGTCTGGATGTGGAGATGTGCTGCCTGGTTTTGTGGCAGGAGCTGTTGAGCGATCTAGGCCAGGTATTTTTCAGGTAACTTTGCTGTGCAAACCCACCGATGGCTTGGGTTTTGTTTTTTTGATGGTTTGGTTTTGCAGTGTTTACGTGAGCGAAAACGCAAGTCAGTGCCAGTGGGGAGAGCAGGAGGGTTTTGTGGCTGCTGGTAGGGCTCTGTTCCTGTGCCTGCCTGGGGCTGCGTGCACGGGCACTGAGATGGGGTCTGTAGGATGGGAGCCTGGAGCTCTCTTTGCAGCCCTCTCATGGATCTGCACCCTGACCCTGGGCTGAAGGCTCCAGGAGGTGCCAGGGGCACCTCTGGCACAGGAGGGCACCTTGTGGTGCCGCTGGTGTGGGTGGCTCCACGTGGAAGCCCCCCATGCAGAATGGGCCCCGTTTGCTCCCGGGATGCTGGGAAGTGCTTGTGTGCGTACCTGGTGATTTTCCTAGGGCAGGGAGTTCCCTGTTGCTGCTGTGTGTTGGTTACTTGGGGTTTCGAGGCTGTTCTGGGTGGCTGGTGGGCATGAGGCTGATGTGCGCTTCCTTGTCACCCTATCCAGTGCCACCACGCTGTGCTTGTCACTGCCCGTGAGGGAGTTTTGGCAGGTGCCAAACTGCAGGGAAAGGTTTGCCCAGAAGGACTTCTGCTTTGGTTTCCCCCTCTCTATAAAGAGAGTAACAGCCCTGCTGTGCCTACCTACAGGGGTGCTGAGGGCTTAGGGCTTGTGCTGAGCTCTCTGGCTGAGTCACATCTGTGGCACCTGGGCATGACACACGCCTCTCGGCTTACTGCTGCTCACATCCTGCAGTTTGGGTTAGGATGAAATGTGCCTGGCATTTTGGTTTCCCCTCCTCCTCAAGGCAGTGAGGGAGAATTTGGATTTCTCTGAGATTTGGGCTGGTTTTGGCACGTGTTTTCCGCTGTGCTTCTGAGCTTGGGGTATTTTTTCGGAGAGCAGGGAGGTTTTCCTGGGAGGCCTGAAGGCTTGCAGTCTGCAGGGGTTTCTCCACATCCCGCTTGGGCTCGCTGCAGCCCTGAGCTGGCAGAGCTGATGCTTTTTGTGTGGAAGGAAGTCTTTTCAAGGAGCCGGAGCTAAAAGCAATGTATATATGAGATATAAATATATAGAGACGTGTAGGACAAGGGTAGATATGTATGCGAAGTCTGGTATATTTGCATGTAAAGGCAATGTTTGTCTATAGGGGGAGAGTGTTTAGAGCTCTGTTGGTAGTGGTGGGGGGGATTGGGATGGCCAAAGTCGGGCAGGGGGCGGGAGCAGCCAGGTTTGGGATTTGGGAGCGGATGGGCACAGGGCACCTCTCCACGCACCGTGGCAACAGGCCTGCCCTTCACTGTGTCCCTGTCCCTGCTACACAGGACCAGGTTTCTTTTTTATGTTCCCCCCTTTATTTTTGCTGTGTTCATTGTACATGACTCATCAGTGGGCCGTGATAATGAGAAGGAGGTGGGAGCGAGGGGCCTTTTGCCTGCATGTGGGGCATTAAAGCGGAAAGAAACATCACGTTGCCTCAGCTGTGGTGCCACTGCGATCCTTCAAAGGGAAAGCAACGCCGTGCAGAATCCCTTATCTAAAAATCCATGTAGATGCTGCTCTCTGGTTACTCACGTTAAAGCATTTTGCTTTTGCATCTGTGCTTCCCAGAAGAGCGTGAGTCAGACGAGATGAGAGGGATGCGGCTAAATTGGCTGCGGAGCGCCGCGCGGGCAGGGCCAGGCTGTCCCAGCGGCGGTTCCTCTGCGGGACGAGATGTTCTGCCTCCCTCCCAGGCGCCGTGTGGAGCCGGGTCTTTTTTTAAACTCATTAGCAGGACTTTTTGGGGCAGGGGATTCATCCACCAAAGGCACCGGAGGCGACATCAGAGCTCGCCTGCCCAATGCGCAGCAGCGTTGCCGCTTTGCGCACTGAATCAGGAGCCCCTTGCAGGGCACAAAGGCAGGCTGGACCCGCTGTGGTTGCAGGCAGTGATGACGTGGGCTGAAATTGCAAAGTGTGTGATGGCTCTGGGCATGGGGATGGCTGAATTACTTTTTTTGGATGCTCATCGCCCACCAGGGAGCCCGTCCTCATGCTGCTTGGGCATGGGGTAACCCTTTAAAGGGGATGTTGGCTCCCATTTCCACCCTTCAGCTTAGTTTTGTTTTGTTTTTCTAGGTGGTTTTGCTTCTCTTTCTCTGTCCTTGCAGAGGAGAGGCTGTGAGGTGTAGCTGGTTCCTATTAGAGGTGGTTGCTGAAATCTGTTGGGAAAGCATCTGTAGGGGAAATGCACGAGCCAGGTACTGCAGGGCTGTTGCTGGCTGAGGAAGCAGCGATGGCACGTGTGATTTGGCACCTTCCGTGCACAGAAGAGAAGGAAGCTAGCACTGATTTTTATTTCCATTATGTCCACTGCTGCATGCAGACTTCACAGCTTCAGGCTCCTGGGAGAGGCTGGAGGATGGAGCCTGCTCCCCTCTCCGAGTGACTGGGAGGAGCTGGGGCCACACGAAGCAGTATTTCCCCAATTTCCCCATTTCTGTGTTTTGGCCTGGCAGGTTTGTGCTGTCTAAACTGCCCATCCCTTGTCGTGTGTGGCAGCGGGTGTCTCGCCCAGCGGTGCTGGGTGACCTCAGGACGTGTGCCCAAAGCATCCCAAATCCCTGGGGCTCTGGGTGATTTTTGATACGTGCATGGACGGATGAAGGACCGAATATGGGGAGGGGGCAGAGGGGCTGCTCAGGGTTTGGGGGTTTGGATGCTGCAAGCATGCGCCGTAGTGGTAGGTGATAGGGGTTTTATACTGGTTGCACTGGGGCAGGGTGTGCGGTACGGAGGGGCTGGCATCCTTTAGTTTTTGCACTGGTCGGAGCAGGGGGGCGCATGCCTGTCCCCTGCGGTGTCCCTGTGTGAGGCTGGGGGCTCTGGGGACACCAGGAACGGGGAGGGGGCTGCTGGGCACCGGCTCCAGCCACGCACAGCAGCCAGCCCCTGCTCATCACCACGGGGGGGAGAATTTGCCCAGGTTTTTGCTTAACCATCGAAATACCAATTTCTCTCCCGGGGGGGAGTTTTGTGCCAGTTCTCTGCCGAGAGGGCTGCCAAGGGGGTGCCCATCCTCAAGTCCCAGGCTTCAGCCCTGTGGTCTTGAAGCCCCTCTGTGATTCCTGCCCACCCAGCACTTCAAATAGGAAATGACCAGAGAAACGAGCCCCAGTATCTCTATCTAAATAAAGGATATTGGTGTATCGAAACTGCGTTGTATATAAAATTATACAAATATATAGTGACTTTCTATTTTAGAAGGGGGGGAGAATAACTATTTAAAATAATTCCTTAGTACTAGGTGTCAGAAACTTCTGTGCAGCATGAGAGAGGCTGTCAGAGGTGGAAAGAGTCTAAAACAGCGGGAGCAGAGCGAGTATTTTTACATTATATTGCGCTTAGGCTTCTCTGCTTCTCCATCCACCTATAAATAGACAAAAAAAATATATATACAAATATATATATATAAAAAAATATATATATCTAAGCCACATAGCTGTTTTATTTTTGTATCCATGCCTAGTGCTGTCTGAGCAATACGGTGGCGAGGGGGGGGGAGAGGGCTGGCTGAGGCTGGGGGCTTGGTGCGGGGTCTGCCCTCCGAGGTGGTGTGCTCTGCTTCGCCTGCTGTCCCGCCGCGCAGTCGTCGTCGCTGCTGCTCGCTGTCGCCTTGCTGCTTCAGTAGAAAAAGTGGAAAAAAATAAAATAAAATAAAATTAGGAGCGGGGTTGGGGGGCTCCCCGGGGAGCCCCGGCTGCTGCCAGCTTGACTCGTGCCGTGGCGAGGTGATGGTGCCCGGTGGTGCTTCCACGGAGGGGCACGCATCTTGCTTTTTATTTTTCATTTTTTTTCAGAGAAACAAGTGGAATTTTAGCTCAAAGGGTGCTATCGGCAGTGGGAAGGACGTGGCTGCTTGCAGCCCGGTGGCACGGGACGTGGTGGGGGTGCTGTGGGGACGGGCTCCCCGTGCATCCTGTCCTCGCTGCCTTTGGAAACCCACACGCCTGGGGGACGGGGGGCAGAGCCGGTGCCACCCCAGCGCAGCCCCCTCGGTGTGGGCAAAGGGGATTTGGTCTCTTCGGTGCTCCTGCAGTCCTGGCTGGGCGGCCTCGGTGCTGTCTCCCAGTGTAGGGCCTGGCCCCGGCGCTTAAATACCTCTTTGGGAAGAGAAGATCTCAGAGCGTGGAGGCGGAGCGGGGCCCTGCGGGCTGCTCTTACCCGCACGGGTACCATGGAGGGGTCGGCTCATCAACGCCCTGAATGTGGTGGGGGTGCTCTGGGATTTATCTTCAAAGCAATACAGACCCGCCACGTCCCCTGATGCTCGCCGTGACCCCGCTGTTTCCCTTGGGGTCACATCTCCCCCTGGGCATCCACCCGTGGGCTCTGCGCTCCCTCAAGGCTCCAGCTGTGCTTTCAGCACCCAGCCCAGCCT